CAGGGTAGTGAGGCGGTTTAGAGCGCAGCAGTCGCACAGTCAGACTGGTTTAAAATTGAGGCTCTGATACTTCCTGATGTAGCCTCCTTTTCCCTTAGTTTCACCACCTGTATTGTGGGGATAACAGTACCATTCACGGGTCTATTGTGAAAATTGAACACAGCAATGCCTGCAGGCACAGAGTACTCTATCCAGCACACAGTGAGCGGTCAGTCAGCGTTAGTCAGCTGTGCAGTAACCCAGCAGCTCTAGTCTTCTGGCTCACTGGCTCTGCGGGCCTCTCCCCACCCCAACACTCGCTGCCACCACCACTTACCAGGAAGGAGCTGATGGAGGAGGGGTTCCAGGAATGTTCCAGGAGGTGGAAGTAGGGGGTGGCGCCCTTGGAGGGTTCAGATTTCCCTTCCACCCTGGGCCTCTCCCTCTGCTCAGTAATGGTTCCCTAGGAGCGGGCAGGGCTCTGGCAGCTCCTGGGTGAGGCCCCAGCCGGGCAGAAGGGCAGATCACAGTCCCCCCTCCCCTCCCAAGGTACTTGAGTCCCTCGTTCACAGAGGCAGCCAAAATAAGTCTCCTCCCCAGAGAGCCACAATAGGCTAAGTAGCCTTTTTCCTGCCCAGGTTATTGGATCTAATTCTCCCTCCTTGGGCCTCAGTTTCCCTGCCTGTGGCCTGTGGGAAGAGTGTGCTTCCCCCTCCTTCACAGTCTCTATGGCAACCACGATCGATGTTGATAGTGTCCTCCCGACCGGGAGAGGTCACTGCCTTCTCCTCTATTATATTCTCATCCAGTTCCATGCAGATACAATTACACAACCAGCATAGACCCGTACACCTAATTATAGGACACATCCATATCACCCACCAGTCTTCAGGCCCACATCCCACAATCCTCCTAAAACACAGACACCTCACACCCCATCACACTCAGAAAAATTACAGCACATTCTCACACACACCACAGACACCCAGGTCACATACCCCTAAACACAAAACACATGCGTAATAGGTGCACGATCATGTGCAGACACATAGACACATATTCTCCTTACAGACAAACACAGAAATATATGCACAGGAAAACACCCAGACACCCATAAGATATTCTGACCCATACACCCATCCCTTACTTGTATACATGCAGCTCATCGCTTCTCTCACACACACTGTCCTTCCCTGCCTTCGCCCCAAGCACAGCTCCTCCCTCTGCCTCCTCCCCTGGGCGCAGAGTAGCCACGGGGTGTCTGGGGGAAGCGGTCCTCAGGGACAGAGGCAGGTCACTGCCTCCCTCCTCTGGCCTGTCCTGTTCTGGCCCAAATCCTTCACACCAAGAGCTCCCAAGAAGATGCCAGGCCTGAGGCTGAGGTGGCCTATGAAGAGGAAGAGGCTGTGGCTGGGAGGTTGTGGCTGGGAGACAGTGGGGGGGGGGGGTGAGGGAAGTGGGGAGAGAGAGGAGGCCTGGGGCGGGAGAAGGGGAGGGAGGCTGCAGGCGGTCCTACTCCCGCTGGGGAGCTGAGGGCCAGGCAGGCCTGCCTGAGTCTCAGCCGATGGGGGCCATGCCCCAGGCCCACCATGAACCTGGAGGGGCTGGAGATGGTCGCAGTGCTTGTGGTCCTCGCTCTGTTTGTCAAGGTCCTGGAGCAGTTTGGCCTCTTTGAGCCTGTCTCCTTGGAAGGTAACCCAGGTTTCTGGGCAGGTCTGGACAGCAGCACTGGGGAGGGGCTGCTCTGATTTGTGACTGGGAGCAGGCATGAGCGGATTGGTGATGGGATGGGGCATCTCCCGGGGTGAGGGGGGTGCCTGGGACCGGGACACCTGGGAGAGGTAAAGAGGGGCCTCTGGGGTGGAGCATCTGGGGGAGGTGAGGAGGGAGTCCGGGGGAATGGGAGTCTGAGGGAAGCAGAGAGAGAGGGCCAGGGGACAGGCTGTTTGGGGAAGTGGTGAGGGGTGCCGCGTGGGAGGACTGGGGTGTGGACATGAGGGGAGACTGGGGGACATGAGGAGAGGCCTGGAGGTAGGCAGGGGTATTTGGAGTAGAGGGAGGAGGTTCTGGGGATCCTGAGATAACACTAGACTTCTAGGGAGTCCCTTTTGGGGTCAGGGACCCACAATGGCTCTGAAGATGTGTGTGACTCTCCATACCTCCATCCTGGCACGTGTAGGTTACAGAGTATGTATGGACTCAGTGTGTGAGAGATACAGGGGGTGTGATTGTGTCTTCATGTGTGTGATGAGAAAGGACAAAGTGTGTGACAGTGTGAGCCTGTGTATGTGACAGGAATGTGATTTAATGTGTCAGAGTGGCAGGATATGTGGCTTTGTCAGGTGGCAGATGTGACTGTGCCTGAGGGGAAAGTGTGTGCGGCTGAACCCCTTTGGGTATCAGATTGTGTACATGGCTGTTCCCCAAGTTCCCTGAGCGTATACTAGCTCTACACCCAAGACTTAGGATGGGAGTGGGTTCTGGAGGGACAGGAGTGGGAACACTGTGAAGGGGGCATTTATAGATCAGCTCTGGCAGGAGGGGAAGGGGTGGGTCAGATCAGGGACCCTGCTTCCCAGGCACCCAGCTTCTTTCAGGACCAAAGGGCAAAATGGTGTCCAGGGCCTAGACACTAGGAGTGGGAAGTCAATTCTCCGCCGCACCCCAAAGTCAAATAGGGAGAGCGACATTGGAGGTAGAGAGGGGAGTATATCCTGCCTCCCCCCGGGAGTTTTGGCCTCCCCCTCCTCTGTACACCAAGAACTGTGCAGCTCCAAAGCATGGCTGTTCCCCAGTTTCACCAGGGACAGGTAAACAGGCAAGAGCCATGATGGGGGGCGGTGGGGAGAACTAAAAAGGTATGAAAGGAGCTAGGGACAAGACAAGGGTCCATGAATTGCTCTGGTGTTGAGTAAGAGTTGAAAACTCCTATCTCACCCTCCATCCTCTGCTGCATTTATTGGGATGAGGTAGGGAACAGGAATTGGCCCTAGATGAACTAAGTGTCCTCCAATCTTTTTTTTTTCTTTTCTTTCTTTCTTTCTTTTTTTTTTTTAAAGAGATAGAGGTAGGGAGAAAAGGAAGAAGAGAAACATTGATGGGTTGCCCCCCAACTGGGGACCTGGCCCACAACTCTGGCATGTGCCCTGACTGGGAATCAAACTGGAAACCTTTCGGTTCACAGGCTGGCACTCAACTCACTGAGCCACACCAGCCAGGGCTCATCTGAGCTTGACCGGATGAAATCAGCTGAGCTGTAACTCACCATCCTCTTTAGACTATTTGGTGGGAAGAGGGGTCATCCAGGGAACCCAGCATCCTGTAGGCAGAAGGCAGTCCCCTTCTCTTTCTATTTTTAGAGGAGCCTAGAGGAGATTGAGCCTTGGGAGCAGATAAGGAGGATGTGCGAAGAGAAGGTTGGAAGAAGGGGAGAGCTGCCCCCTAGTCTGGTGGCAACTCTGCGTAGCACCAGAGGCCCCAAGTGCAATATAGTTTCAGCTTTGGGAAACCAAAGTCCAGGCTAATGGAGCCCTGGGCCAGGGGCCAGGCCGCCATCGATCCCCTCCCCAGCCCACTGCCTCCTTCCTACCTCTCCATAGCTCCTGCTGCGGAGGAAGGAGAGGGGACACATTGGAGGCGCGGAGAAGGCCCTGACTTCTAGCAGTTACCTCCTGGGAATGGGACCTTATCCTGAGGGTGGAGACTGAATGGGGAGGGTGGGGCCCGTGTGGGAGCTGGGATGCCTGAGTAACCTACAACCAAAGAAAGTTGGGCCCTTCCAGAAATGGACTGAGACCAACCTCAGTCTGTGTACACTCTGGCCCTAGAGCCTGGAGGTGGGTGTAGCTGGGAGACAGACACACATGAATGTGGACGGTCTCCCTAGGATGCACTTAGAGCTGTAGGACATGTGTGTAAATAAGGGGAAAGGAGAGGAAGTGTGATCAGTGGGCTCTGGATGGCCCCACGTGACACTAAAATGCTCACCTTAAGGTCCATTATTGCCTTAAAGTTTGATATCATTTCACCTTCAAAGAGTAGGCTACACTGGAAAGGACTGGGGAGGGACACTCTTAGGGTGGGCGAGTTAGCTGAGGAGGAATCCCCTTCCACTGGCAGGAAGGTATTGGTACCTTGGAATGAGGAGTTGTAGAAAAGAAAGGTGGGCGTACTCAGAACAGATGGGGGTTCTGTGGATGAGCTGCCGTCTTAGGTATCTGGGTGCCATGGGTACATAGGTCACAGTATGATAATGGGTATTTGTTATGGTGACCTTGATATGTGTCATAATATTATAAGATCCTAGTGTGTCATTAACACATTATGTAATGATGTCCCCAGGGTCATTGTGTGTTTTTGTGCGATTTGATCATGCTGTGTGTGCAAGGTGGCCTGTATAGGTCCTCATGTATGTGTCATGTTTTTCCTAGGTCACAATTATATGTTTGTATTAAAGAGTTTTAGGTCAGAGTGTGTGTGTGTGTGTGTGTGTGTGTGTGTTCATGTACATGCGCGCACATGTGTTGAAGCCTGCTTAATTAGGCCACTGGGTGTGAGTTACTGGATATCAAGCTGTCACTATACCCAGAAAGGCATCCATCACTCTGTGATTTATCATTCTGTGTCACGATGCACATCTGTCTGTATATGCGTGTGTGAGAGAGGCGTTCCTGCCCAGGCAGTCCTGGGTTGGACATCACCGTCAGAGGTCCAGCCTAACACTGGAGGCGAGGGCACTGGGTCAGCAGACGCTGAAGCCAGTGCCGCCTGCCCCTAGCTGCCTCACACTCTTCAGCTGGGTCCCATTATGCAAGGTGCCCCAGCTGCCTCCGAGGGTTTTCCACGCCTCTGAAACCCACTGGGCTCCTCTAACCCAGTCCCAGCTACCTTGGCCATTCCCCTTCAATTCCTCCCCAACCCCTGCCCCCAGCCGGGGTTAATTTGTGATGATGGGAAAGGGATAGGGAACGGAGGGGCAGTGGGGGGTTAATGTGACTTCCCGGGGTCTTCTCTCTTCCCAGGCCACCCTCCAGGGCCCACTAAAAAAGCGCTGAAGCAGCGGTTCCTCAAGCTGCTGCCTTGCTGCGGGCCCCAAGCCCTGCCCTCAGTCAGTGAAAGCAAGTGCCGCTCCTGTACTTCCTGGGGCGGGGCCCGTTGTGTGGGACACGTGTGACTGGAGCGGGCCTCTGTGTATGTGTGTATGTGTGTGTGCGCGCGCGTGCGCGCACGGCCACGCAACCAATGTGTACCCCTAGAAGGGTGGGCACTGGCTGGCGCAAGTGTGAGCAGGTGTAGCTACAGTTCTCAGAGGAAGCGTAGTGTGGGGACACGGTCAGTTTGCGGTGCGGGGGCCCTAGTGTCTATGGGCGTCACCAGTTTGCGAAATGGGCGGGACCTGTGTATTTGGGCGTGGCCAGGGTGGCGAGGCTGAGGCCCAAGCTTAATGCTGTGGCCGCTGTGGTGGGGGCTGGTCTAGGGGGCTGGTCTAGGTGGCTGCGCAGGTCTGTGCGTCTGTGTGTGGCTCAGCTGGGTTAGTGTCTGCGACTCCGGCCTCCTGCCCCGTCCCTGGGCATGTTATGGTTGTGGAAATGCATGTGCCCTTGCAGATGGAGCACGCCTTCCACCAGATGACAGGACACTCGGATTTTTTAGTGGCAGCCTGGTTCCCATTTGAGTGACCTCCCTTTGTCTCTAGGCCTGTTTCCTCAGTTGGGCCTTGTCCACCTCAGAGGATCATACTTCATGTTGCAAGCTATTTAAGGCCCGTTTTGTAGTTATTTGAAAGTGTCGATTCCGGATTGTGTTTGATTCCGGATCCCACTTGGGGGTAGATTCGGAAAAAGAACCGCCGTGAGTGCCGCATGCGGGTGTGCGTGGGGTTCGTTTCGTGTACGCCTGTGCTTGTTCGTTACGTGTGCTTTTGCGCCCGGGGCTGGAATGTGTGCATTGTAACACAGATTTGTGAGATTCGCAGTGAGTGTGTGGGACAAGGTGTGTGTCTGCAGTTGGCCGGGTTTTTGGCTTTCTCGGTGACAGTGTGCTCCCTTCAGCATTAGCCGCCCCAGCCTCCCTACGCCCCCACAGACCCCGCCCGCTGGACCCAGGTGACTTACTGTCCTGGTGGGGGCGGGGGAGGGCGAGGGGGGTGCTTTGGGAGAACGGGGTGGGGGCATTTGCCTGGGGACTGGATGTTGGGGGCTCGGGGGACTGAGATGGGGCCGGGGGTGGGGCCTTGGCTAAGGCTTACCGGTGGTGGACGCAGGGCGGGGGTCTAAATGGAGCTTGGCCTGAGCGGGGCGGGGCATGGCTCCGGCATGGCTCGGGGAGCGGGGGTCTGGGCAGGGCAGACTGACTGGGCAGATCTGAGTTGGTCAAGGGAAGGCCCAGAAACTCGGATCTTCATACGCCCCTTCTTGAACCCGTCTTTACTACTCCAACCCCTTATGGGATGAAGATGGGTTGGGGCCTTTTCCTCCAACCAGGGACCAAGAGCCCAGGGGCCAGCGCTGGATCAGATCCCTGGCTCTGGAGCCAGGCCTTGCCTTGGGCCGGGCCTGCTGATAGACACTGAAGTTAACCAGAGTCTTGTCTCCTTGCCTGGATGTCCAGGGAACTGGCAGGCCGGCCTCTGGCCTCGCAGACAGGGGGGATGTATGGATTGGTGGTTGTGAAGAGGGGCCGTGGGGGCTGGGCCTGAGGCGCGGCTCTCCCCCTCCCTCGTCCCCCGCTAACCTCCACAGACAGCGTGGAGGATGAGTTTGAACTGTCCACCGTGTGTCACCGGCCCGAGGGTCTGGAGCAGCTGCAGGAGCAAACCAAGTTCACTCGCAAAGAGTTGCAGGTCCTGTACCGGGGCTTCAAGAACGTAAGTGTAAAAAGCAAAGCCAAACTGGGACCGCGGTGGGATGGGAGGGGCGGGGCCTATCCGGGACTGCTTTGGAAGGCGGCCTGGCTTTGGGGGGTGAGACAGAAGGGGAGGGGGGAGAATCCTCTCCTCCCCCTTCCTTCCCCACTCTGCTGGCCTCCCCAGACCAAACTTCTAGCAGGAGGTTCTGGCCTGTTTGAGAAGGGGCGGAACCTATAAACAATCAGGTAGTTCTGTGTGTGGGTGTTTTGTTTTGTTTGTTTTGTGCAGCTGGGGAGAAGTCTTGCCTCCCATTAGAAGAGCTCCATAGTGAGGCCGCTGGAGACAGAGATTTTGTCCCTTTCTGGGAGTCTCTGGGCATGGAGCTGGGACGGGTATGGAAGGGGGTTTTGTCTGTGTCCTCAGTCTGGTCTCCCCACTGCCCAGGAATGTCCCAGCGGAATTGTCAATGAGGAGAACTTCAAGCAGATTTACTCCCAGTTCTTTCCTCAAGGAGGTGAGGGGACAAGGCCTGAAAGGAAGCAGCTGTCTGTCGACCTCTAGGCTTTGTTGGGCAGAGGGTTGTGGAAGGGCTGGGGGTGCCAAGTAGTGAGAGGTGTTTGGGGAGCCCCGTAGAGGCTGGAAGTCATCTGCTGTCTGGAAGCCAAGCTTACCAACCCACTCTTTACAGATTCCAGCACATATGCCACTTTCCTCTTCAATGCCTTTGACACCAACCATGATGGCTCAGTCAGTTTTGAGGTGAGCTGGAGAAGATGGGCCAGGGAGGCCTGGGGCTTCAGGGCCAGCATCTACCAGCCCAACCCAGAGAGGAGGTCGGGTGAAGGGTACCTGAAGACACATTTTCCCCCTGCCTCCTTCCCAGGACTTCGTGGCTGGTTTGTCAGTGATCCTTCGAGGAACCATAGATGACAGGCTGAACTGGGCCTTCAACCTGTATGACCTCAACAAGGACGGCTGCATCACCAAGGAGGTGTGCAGGGCGACTGAAGAGCTGCCCGGGGGTGTGAAAGGCCCAGAGGAAGGCAGTGTGACCCACAAAAGCAGTACCAGCAAGGCTGATGCTGCCCTAGGCCCTGGGCCTCCTGGCTTGGAGGCTCTAGGCTCTGAGGAGGGATCCTCTTCTTTTTTGGCCTAACAGGAAATGCTTGATATCATGAAGTCCATCTATGACATGATGGGCAAGTATACGTATCCTGCACTCCGGGAGGAGGCCCCAAGGGAACATGTGGAGAGCTTCTTCCAGGTACTTGGGACTGGGTAGGCCGGAGGGTCCTGGAATGAAGGGCAGAAGGTGAGGTCCCAGTAGGGACCTTACCTGAATTCTACCTGCCTCTCTCCTGCCATCCCTCCTGTTATCCCTCCTGACTACCTTTTTGCAGAAGATGGACAGGAACAAGGATGGCGTGGTGACCATTGAGGAATTCATTGAGTCTTGTCAAAAGGTACAGGTCCCCGCCCCGACGTTTCCCTGGTCCGGACTCAGGGTCTAATTCAGTAATACAGGAGAAGCTCCTTTGGGCAGAGCATCATCTCCCTAACGCAGCCCCACTCCCAAGCCTGTTCCTTCGCAGCTGGGGCACGCCTGCCATTCCCCGCCTCTGGTCTCTCCGGGTGTCTCCTTCCTCATTGCCTCTCTCTGTCTCTGAATGTCCCCATTTATAACTCAGTATCTCTCTCCCTGTCTCTGACAAGCTCTTTTTCTTTCTCTCTCTCTCTCTCCAATCTGCCTCTCTCATATCATGGCCACAGGATGAGAACATCATGAGGTCCATGCAGCTCTTTGACAATGTCATCTAGCTCCCCAGGAGAGGGGGTCAGTTGTCAGTTGACCATGCTCTAGCCCTAGTCCACTTGGACCTCACCCTTCTCTCCCCAGGTCTGTCCTCATCCTAGCCCTGCCCAGGGTCTGTAGGAATCCAAGAACCTGGGGATTTAGTGGAGCCAAAGGGACCAGGGAGTGGGCAGAGTGTATCTGCTGGGTGTTCCCAACTCCCAACAGCTCCCACCCCCGCCCTGCCTGACATTCAGTGCTGAGGGTGCCCCTGCTATAGGAATGAAGTAGTTCTCCACCTCCCACTCCCACTCTAGAAACCACAACATTAGACAAAATTTCTCCTGCTATGGTGCTTTTCCCATCCCTGATCTCATAAACATTTTCCCTAAGACTCCCTTCTCATAGAGGCTGCTCTGTCCTTGGCACCGATTGGCCTTTCAGAGCAGGACCTTTGAGAGCTCTGTAGGAGGGCACAAGAATGTAAAGGGAGAAATCTTGGGCCTGATCCAGTGCTAGGTCCTAGGAGGTAGCTGGAGTGCAGAGTAGAAAGGCGCAGAGGTTGTCAGTGGGAGCTAAGGCATGCCAGGCTATCGCTGCGAGCTCTGCACGTCTGCCACCAAGCTATACAGATACGAATTTCTAGACTCTTCAGAAGACCTTTTCTCCTTGGAAACTTCCCCACATTTTCCATGCTCGGTATCCCAGAAAAGCCTGGGATCCTGATATCTGGCTCCTCCCTGGATTTTCTTCCCTCTCCTTCCTTCCCATTGGTGTGGTAGTGGCGGCGGCAGGGGAACATGGGTCCTGGCTGATTCCTCCCAAAGGTTCAGCCTACCAGCATGGAGTGAGTCAGGGCTTTCTAGTGAGTACATTAGAAGAAAAGGGAAGGAGGGCATTTATTAAAATCTTTGATCTACCCAGCCTCTATTCCAACCCCCAAAATAGCCTCTTCAGTTCCCACCTAGGGTCTCCTCTTACTCTACTCAGTCTCCCCAGAGATGCCAGGAACCTTAGGATCCAAGTCCCACATCATCATCAGCACCCTGCCATGCTGTCACTCCTTAATACACGTGCTCGTTCCATTAGCCAGGGTCTGAGGGGAAGGGCCCCCAGGGAGCTCCTTTTCCCACCAGAACACTGTTGACTGCTTTGCATTTTTGGCTCCTCTGTATATTTTGTAAAATAAAACAATACACCAGATCCAATAAAACACAATGGCTATGCAGGCTTCTGTCTCTGCCTTTCTGTCCCTCCTACCCCACACATACCTCACAACCTCTAATTTGTGCACCTGCAACCTTTTAGATCTGAAAGTTCATCTCTTTCCCATAGTATGGCCAGCCCCTGGCAGAAGACCAAGACATGGGTTCTGGAAGGGTTGGAAACCTACCTGACCTTAGAGAAGTATCTACGTGACTCGCCCTCCTTAGAGGAGACAAGGAAGAGGGAGGATACTGATGTCCTAAAGACTATTCCAAACCAGCTTTCTTTTGTCTAGACATTATTACAAGTTGAGCCAAGAACTTCTCATTTACAGTCCTAGATGGTGTGGCTCAGTGGATTGAGAACCAGCCTGCGAACCAAAGGTTTGCCGGTTCAATAACCCAGTCAGGGCACATGCCTGGGTTGCAGGCCAGGTTCCTAGTTGGGGGCATGTGAGAGGCAACCAATTGATAGTTCCTTTCTCCCTCCTTTCCCTCCTCTCTAAAAGTAAACAAATGTTTTTTTAAAAGTATCAGGAAAAAAAAAGAATTCCTAATTTACAGACATCGGTTAATCTCAAAGTGTTTTCTTTTGGGGGGGGGATTCCCTTTAGTTTCTAATGAAAATTGTGTTATACAGACATCCCAACCTCCACTATGGACATACATTTGTGTCTATACTGCAGCCAAGAATGATGGAGAATCAGATGGCATGGGCCCAGGGCAGGTTACCATGGAGCAGGCGACCCTGGGGTAGTAGAGACTTCCTGTATGGGCTGGGAATCTTTCTTTGTTTTGCTCCTAGAGAGGCAGCCACCAGAGGTAGCTTCCTCCTCTCCTTTCTCTGGGGTACCATCATATGATAATTAAGCTTCACCATCCAATGAATGTCTTTGGATGTAACTTAGTTTCAAGACTGAAATCAAGGAATGCTTCCTGTTGCATTTGATTTTGCCCTCGAACCTCCTACTGCAAAAGTCCACTCTCTTCTGCCCCTGAGGAAGAGTGACAAATAAAGATGTTAAGCTTGGAAGTTCCATGGCCATCTCCCTACCAACCTGATAAAATGGCCACACGCAAAGGACCAAGAGGAACACTGAGAAGTGGAACCAGACCCTGCGTAGAGCTCCATCAAGTATCATGTCTTTTATATTTGAGTTTATGCATTTCCATATTGTTTAATTCCACTTTAAGCAGAATTTTCTGCTACTATAAAATGTAACCAACTATAGCTATAAACCAAGAATGTCTTGAGTGAGATTGTTTTTACAGATATACGTTACAGAAAATAATTCCAACATTTACTAACTGTATTCCAAGATTATACAGAGGTACCTATTCTATTACTTCTATTATTGTACACATTGACAAGATCAAGGGAGGGGTATGGTGTCCAAGAAACAAAAACTTACTTCCAGAGTCCATAATGTTGTCATCTGACCCTACTCACATCACACAATTATCTGCTCTTTAGATCCTTGGGTTTCATTGGGTTACAACCCCTCTGAAGGATCGGATGAAATATATGGGCCCCCTGTCCAGAAGGAAAAAAATTGCACATTTGCCCATTTATTTATTTATTATTATTGTTTTTTTAAATCCTCACCTGAGGATATGATCATGGGTTAGAGAGAGAAACATCAATGTGAAAAAGAAACATTGATACATTGTATCCCCCTACCTAATGTGCCCTGACTAGGGATGGAACCTGCGACCCAGGTATCCTGACCAGGAATCAAACCTGCAACCTTCTGGTGTATGGGATAATGCTCCAACCAACTGAGCCAACTGGCCAGGGCTCTGTACATATTTTGGTATCCCTTAGGCCCTTCCATTCGCCCTAAGTTAAGATCCTGTGATCTAGTCTACCCTTCAGCCTTCGATTCTACAGAAGAGGAAACAGGTGCATTTATAGGAGGATGAAGACTAGACCCAGTCCCCCAAGTCTCTGTTCAAAGTGACCTTGTGGCTCAGTAAAGATTTGTGTAAGATGGATGCTGTCCATGTCATAAATAATCTAATCAAGGTGATGCTGACAGGCTTTCGTGGTGCCCTATACTTTTTCTTCATGGAACTTCTCAGTTTGTAACTACTGTATATGTGTATTTGAGTAATTGTCTTCTTTGATACACTATAAGCTATAGAGGGCTCCTTGAGTGCCTGGACTAGCTGTTTTATTTTGTTTGTTTTTTTTCCTCTCACCATCCTATCCTTGAGGCCCAGAAAATAATAGACACTCAATAATTATTTGATTAGATGAATGAGCATGGTGAGTTTGTGTATATAACCAGGTTAGGTATGGGCATATTCTCTATATTTTAGGGTAGATCCAAGTTCAAGGGAAGCTGAAGTAATGAGCTGAGAATTTCTAGTGAAGTGTAAAGTGCCCCAGAGCCAGGGCACAAAAATGGGAACCAGAAAAATAACAGGTAGGTATTCTGATTTTTTCTGGCCAGTGGTTGGACTCTGAATGTTGTCAGCTGCTCTAGCTCAAAACACCCTCCTTTCCTGCCTTCCAGTATTTTATACTTCCCATTTTTCCTTTTACATTTCTGGCTGCCCTTTCTCAGTCCTCTCTGCAGACTCATCCTTCTTAACTGGAATCCTAAATGTTGGGCTCCACAGCTCAGACTGGAGCCTCTTCTCCAAATCACGTTCAACCCCATAACTTTAATATCATCTATATGCAGAGGACTCCTAAGCTTCTATCTCCAGAATTGTCTGAGCTCCAAGACCCATTTATCCAGAGGCCTATTTGACAGGTTGTGGACCTGTAATAAACTTAACATGTTCAAAATGAAGCTTCGATTCATGCCTTCTCAGTCTTTCCCATTTCAAGTAATGACACCATCCACCTAGTTGCTTAGATCGAAATTGATGCGTCTTCCTTTCTTCCTCTCCCTTCCTCTCCCTCTGCCCTCCTTTAATCGGTCACCCCTCTCTCTGTCTCTACTGCTGTTCCCTAGTTGAAGCCACTGTCATTACTCACCTGGATTATTACTTATTCTTCCACCTAAAGTAGCCCCCTCCTGGCTGTGGTTATTTTTTATTACATCACTTAATTTCTTCACTTCATATTACTTATCACAAACTGAGTTCCTAGTTACGATTTGAATTTGCTATGGTCTGTTTCCTCAACTATAATGTACACTCTCTGAGAGTACGGCCCTATTTCATTCATTCCACAAATATTTATCATAGGCCTGTTAAAACTTTGGTTCCTATTGTAGATGTGGTATGGAGATAAAGTGTGAGGCAAGAACTGCCTTTCAAGTTTGAAAGGTACAGATATGGAAGATGGATCTTGCCTGGGCCACAGGCCCCAGAGTCTAGGCTGTGGTGAGTAGATGAAATTGTGGCTACTGAATTGCTAGCAGGTGTGAGAAATGAAGCAAATAGGAAAAGACCATGAGACTACAGACTGCAGTCAGTTGGAAGGACAGCCCCCAATTCTCCAAGTCATTGCAGTATCCAGTGAAGCTGCTTATGACCCCCAATCGTCATCACAGGAAGTCCCCTAAGAAAATGTTTGTTCTTAACCCCAACCTCAAGGCTCCAAGGGACTAAAAAGGAGAGGGCCTACAAGAATCCCTGGAGCTATAAGTTGGGCTACCGCTGGAGGAGCTGACTGAAGAGTAAAATGGACAATACTAAATCTTAATCCGAATGAGACCGAGATGCTCAGTTCACATTTAAACTGCACAAGGTGAGACAGATAGCTGGACATAAATGCAAAGTACATCATGACAGGGCTACAGGGAATTCTGAGAACATACAGCAAGCGGATCCAAGCCCAACCAGGGTTCAGGGAAGGCTTTCCCAAGGGAATGCTGTCTATGCTGAGGCCCAAGGTATTTCACTTCTCCCTCACATTTCACGTTCCCCATTCCCAAACAAGCCAGGCCTTTTCATCCCTCCCTATATCTGTGCTCTGTTCCTTTTGCCTGGAGTGTTCTTTCTCCTCCCTCACTACTCAAGTCCGGATACCTCTTACTCATTCTTTAACATCTAGCTCAAAAGCAAAACCATCCATGCTCACCGCCTCGTCCCCAAAGAAGATTAAATCAGTCCTTTCTCTGCACTCCGGCAACGCTTGAGTGCACCTTATGGGATATGTACTTGATGGTTTCCACCACTTTACTGTGAGCTCACAGTGGCTCAAGAGCCCAGCATGAGGCCAGCTCTATAGGTGTCTGCTGAAGAAAGGAAGGAACGAATGATTGAATTTTCTAAAGGGGTTAGCATCGAGCTGGGTGTAGGCGGAAATGATTCAAGACTCGGGGGTAAGCTGAGCTCCTGGGAGTGCTGTCTTCACAGAACCCAGCCTGGGTCAGGTTGCCGTATTGAGTCAACCTATTAGAAGACTCTCAATAGAAATAGGTCAGTTCCTTCCTGGTTCTTTAAGAACTAGAGGCTTTATTTCCGCGCCTGCTCATTGAGAGAGAGTAAACGCCTCTCTTTCTCACCCTCCCTACCACCCTTATCCCCATTGCCCCAACCCGCTGCAGCCTCCTCCCATACTCCCCTTCTTTGGGTCCGGTAATGGTCCGTTCCAGGGCGCTGGGCTCGTTCTGGAGGGTGGAGAGCATAAATGGTACATCCTACTGCCTTCATCACCTTCTGCTTTTCTCGTCTCCTCTGTTCTACTTCCCCCTACCGAATGAAACTCAATAGGCTGGCCCAAAAGAAGGCGGGGGAGTGGGGCTGAGGGGACCGGTCTGAGCCGGTCTCTAGCGCAGGCGCAGTGCAGATAAACAGGAAGCTGGCGGTAGAGGCAGCGGTGTAAGAGATCGTGGGTTTTAGGGAGGGAAAACAGCGGCAGAGTAAGATTATAGGGAGTGCAACACAGGCTAACTGAGAACGAAAAAGAAGCTTTGGCCGTCTGCCTCTAGGGAACGGGAGGCGCAGCTTCGTTCTCCGCTTAGGCTTCCGGCTCCCCAGCTTAGGCTGAGGCAGCGGCTGACAAAGGGCTCGCTCCGGTGCCGCCGCCCTTCTCATCCGGGCATTCAGGTCCCTGCGGAGTGGGAGGGGGAAGGGCAGCGGGGGAAGGGAAGGAGCAGGAGGGGCGAGCATTTGGAGCCGAGGCCCTCTCCAGGGCTCTGGGCCCGCGGCCCAGCGGACGGAGGCCGAGGAGGACCCATAGAGGTGGCAGTGGCCAGAGGTTCAGAATGGTTCAGAAGGAGAGCCAGGCGGCGCTGGAGGAGCGGGAGAACGAGCTCAACGCCAACCCTGCCGCCTCCGCTGGTGCATCGTTGGAGCCACCGGCAACTCCGGCCCCCGGAGAAGACAACCCCACTGGGGCTGGGGGAGCAGCAGTGTCCGGGGCGGGAGGAGGTGCTCGGAGATTCTTGTGCGGCGTGGTGGAAGGTGAGCGTTCTGGCGCGGGCTGGGCAAGAGCGTCTTCCTCCCCACCTCGCTCCAGTACTAACAGGTTCTGTCCTCATGCGGGGTGGCGGCGGTGCTGGGAGGATGCTGTTCAAGGGTGTTAACTTGCTCGGATATGAGATTTGACCTTGCTAACATGAGGCGGGAGGCGAGGCGGTGTGCAAGTCTCCCTTCTTGTTCTTAAATGGCGTCGAATTCCCCTCTGGCAATTGAGCCTGACCCCACCCGCCTTGGGCTTGGAGCCAGGCGTTCTCCTGCGGAGGCGCTGGTAAGGAGCCTAGTGCTAGGCTCTTGAGTTGTAGATACGTATTTGTACCGTGGGATGTTATTCCTTAGGGTGGTCTGTGTTCAAGTGGGAAAATGTGTATAGTGATGCTGTCGTCAGTCTTTGGCGGGGGTGAAGGGGGGGAACCCTACACAAACGTGCTTGTTGTACTCCTGGAGTGAAGGGAAGCACGCACGGTAAGCCTATAGTTTTACTAATTCCTCTTAGTTTAGGATTTTGTTGTTGGCCAGTCACCCCGCCCCCACCATTTGAAGATTCATTTGCAGCCTAGAAAATTGCCCTTTACCACCTATTGTGCTTTGCCCCCTGAGGGAGGAAGTTTTGACTCTCGTATATCAGATACAGAATTTTAATTTAGTGACTGCAGAAGAGATTTAAAAAATGCCCTTCTCGAGATCTCCCTTCCATTGCCATTTAAAAGGAATGATGGACTCTTTTGGTGGTTGGGGAAAATGACCAGAAGATTGTATTACAATTTATTAACATGATAGACAAGTATTTCCGCCTTATACTCTACGAAAGCATTAACCAGTTACATCGTTACTGTTTTCTCGAGTACAGAATATATTGGCGTTTTCTGAAGTATTTTGGCTGACCCAGCGTTTCCTAGATGTCTGCTCTATTCTACCCTATATGTGATGGTGTGTATAGGAGTAAGAGTATATAAGAAATAGTTTTTATATAGGAAAAAACTAAAAGGGCCCCGGCTGATAGGGTTCAGTATATTGAACCCCGTCCTGCGAACCAAAGTGCTTACCCGGTGAGGACACATGCTTGGGTTGCTCACCAGGCCCCCGACTGGGGACATACCTGGGAACGTGGGAGAGGCAACCAATCGATGTATCTCTCGCACATAGATGTTTCTCACCCTCACCTTCTCCCTCCCTTCTCATCTCTCTAGAATAAATAAAATCTTTTCACATTTTTTTTTTTAGATTTTATTTCATTTATTTTTAGACAGGGGAAGGGAGGGAGCAAGAACGGAGAAACATCAATGCAGTTGCCTCTTGCGCGCCCCCCACTGGGGACCTGGCCCGCAACCCAGGCAGATGCTCTGACTGGGAATTGAACCAGTGACCCTTTCGTTCACAGGCCTGCGCTCAATCCACTGAACTACATCAGTCAGGGCTAAATAAAATCTTATAAAAAGTTTTTTTAAAAACCAAACATGTAGGGAAAAGAAAAGAAAGAAGGTTGCCCTCTTAGTTGAGAGCTTCAGCTTTCCCAGTGTAGAGGAGTGATTTTCAACTTTTTTCATCTCATGGCGTACAGACTAATTACTAAAATTCTATGGCTCACCGAAAATATATATCTTTTGCCTATCTGGCAAAAGAAAATAGGTATAGCTTTGGTTCATTCACACCGGATGGCTGTTGTTGTGTTGGCTGTTATTTTTTGACAGTCTAAGGGAAAAAAAGGTTGGTGCTTCTGACTAAACAGGTATCACGTTTTAAAAATTCTTGCTGCACACCAGCTGAAAATTGTGAAAATCTCTGGCATCAAGTATTCATTTGAAAGGTGGGTGATGGTTATCGTATTTTAGATAGTTAAACTGTAGCGGAATATAGAATCATTTTCAATAAGGAGTAAAACAGTTGAAAGTTAATTTCCAGAATTTAAGGGAAGACAGAATGGAAAACTGCTTCAGTATTTGACTGGAGTGAAAGTTTGTGAAAACAGGATTGCTTTGTGTGACTTATCCATTAATATATTTATTGGGTTTGAGTGCTTGGAGATTCTAGAAGAAGAATCTGTTTTGTTATCAGAGATCTTGATGTGGAGGGTGGGGAAAGAGTGCTGGCAGATACAGAAATCTTAGACTAGAGCAGGTCTAGGGAAACTTGCCTTCTGTGATTGAATAAGTTGGTTGGTTTTTCAGAATGGTATTGAAGTAGAACTACTCAAAGCATAGAGTTGTCTTATCTCTTGTGTATTGTCCCTCCTCCATCCCACTCAAAACAAATTCTGTCCCATTCCCTCCTATATTTTCTTGGTGGCTAAGTACTTTTTTTTTGTACTTGTAAGTTGGCACCATTCCTAAAATGAATGAGGATAGAAATGCTGTAGGTATTACAGGATTCCTTTTTTTGTTTTTCTTCCCCTCACAAACCTTTGTGGTTTTAACTTTGGTGTAACAGCACTGCTTCCTCTTTGTGGCCCCATTGAATTGAAACCATCCTGTCTCTCAAAGAATAAGGAACATTTCAAATTAAAATGTTAAACTCTTGAAAAGTGTTTCTTTTTTATATTGAAACAACTCTAAAGGGATGTTTAATGCCTACTCCTTTAAGATAAAAATGATAATGCTAAGTGTTGTAGAAAAGCTATAGTCTTCTATAAAATTTACCTAAAGGCAAGATCACTTTAAGAGGGTGATAACCTTTAAGAGGTAACATTGAATTGTCAAGATTGAAAATGCTACAGTTTTATACATTAGTATATAATGAATTTTTCTTTGGTCTGTTACTTTCCTTGTTTATGGTACAAAGTAACCATCTTTTCTAGAGATTGGAACTTAATACCCTTAATAAATTTTGATTTTAGGTTAGTCTCTTAGGTAGGTAGACTTTGGGGGTGTGTGTGTAGCATTTTGTATTCAAAATGCAAGTTTGACCATCTTCATGGTACCCCCAGAGTTTGTCCTTATCTCTTATAGGTGATTAGACTGAGAGAGGTGGAAAATGAAAGTTAGGTGAGCTGTAAGCTGTTGATTAGCACAACAATGAGCTCCAAATACCTACCTGCTTACACCTAGTCGGAGGTGATCAGTCTGCAGGTTTGCTTCCTGCAGTGGCCTTGCAGTTTGCAGCTTTGTGGCCTTGGCCCCCACCCCCTGGAGCAAGTCTTGTTACTGAATTTTAGTTGTTCAGACCTTTGCTCTCAGATAGTTGAGGTGGCTTGAGAGCTTCCTGTTTGGGCCGGTTCCACTGAGGAATTTGTTGTGAATGTAGTTTAAAGTGTTTTTTGGGTCTCTTTTATTATATCAGGAACTTAAAAATGTGATCATAAAATTAGGTCAATCAGATTCTTTTCTAATTGCATTCTTGATTTTTTTTTTTCCTGCCTTATCTCCCTTCCATCCTTTAAAAGCAGCTTTTAACTACCCTTCTAGGTAGTAATTTTTATTAATAGCAATTTTAGATTACTTTGCTTCCCCTTCCCCCATTGTAAGATTGAGATAATTTTTTACAAAGTTAGATTGAATTACATTTGGTCTTTTTCTGGCAGTGAAGAGAGATAACGTCCAGCTGTTTTTAAATAACTTTATCATATGAGTAATGTGTTCATGGTAGAAAAACCAGAAAATTTATTTAAGTAAAAAGGGAATAAAAATCCCCTTTTATAATTTCACCATCCAAAGGCACTTTAATGTTTTACTTACTAAATGCTCTTCACATTTTAGTATATTGTGAACATTTTTTTACAGAATGGGATTGTACTATATGTTTTGTAACCTGCTTTTCTCAAACAGTTTAACACATTTTGAAACCTGAAAATAATTTCATTCTTTTTTTTTTGTATCCAGGATTTTATGGAAGACCTTGGGTTATGGAACAGAGAAAAGAACTTTTTAGAAGGTAAATTTTTATTTTATGATAGAGAATCTTAAATGATTAACATATCCTATTGTTTAAAGAAATATGAGTAATAGGCCAGGTGCAATTTGTTGATTTCTTAGTTGCAGAAGTTGGTCTTTTACCTGTTCTTCACTTAGGCCATTGGTTCTCAAAGTTTCCTGGAGAAGCTGAATAGGTCTTGGGCCTTACCTACCTCACCCAGAGTTGTGTGGGGTGTTTTTTTTTTGTTTGTTTGCTTTTTCCTTTTTTAATCATCACCTGAGGATATGTTCGTTAGGGGGGGGGTGTGTGAGAGAGAGGCAGGCAGGCAGGCAGGCAGACAGACAGACAGACAGACAGACATGGATGCCTGGTTGCCTCCCATAAGTCCCCAAGTATGGAATCTTCAACCCAGGCAAGTGCCTGGACCTGGTATCGAACCTGCAACCCTTTCGTGTATGGGATGACGCTGCAGCCAACTAAGCCACCTGGGAAGGGCTAGAGTTGTATTTTTCATTAAGACTGTTTAATATACTTTCTAAAAATATTCACTGTAGTATTTTTTGCAATTCCACTGGATTACAAAAAGGTTAAAAGCTACTGTCCGAGAATATTATTAGCATTTTGAGAGAGATGCTTCAAGAAAAGGAAGGAATTGAGATTTACAGCCTATGCATGTTGCCTGTTTATACATATGTAATTTTTTTCTCCTTAAGGCTTCAGAAATGGGAATTAAATACATACTTGTATGCCCCCAAAGATGACTACAAACATAGGATGTTTTGGCGAGAGATGTATTCAGTGGAGGAAGCTGGTAATCTTTTTCTTTTTAATCCATAGATTCAGAATATGTGAAGAAAACTGTATTTTTTAATAGAGTGGTATAGGAATTTTGTTAAGTATTTTATTTTCACTTTGAAGGTAGTTTCCTTTTCTTCTGTCTGGTGACCACATGAGCTAGTCCAGATTGAAAGAGTAGCACTAACAGTACACAGCCATGGTGTGAGTCACCGGTATATTCATCTGTTCTGTGGTCAGAAACTCTATATTTTTTAACTTCTCAGTGGTCTAAACAGTGGGCCGCTGGATGAAAGAGGTGCTGAAGCAGGGCGAGGCCTAGTGCCAGGCAAGCAAGGCACCCACTTTGGGTGCAAATTTTATAGGACTCAAAAAAAAAAAAAAAAAAGAATTGGGATTAAATAATATTCTATGTGGTTTTTAAAGACCTAATTAATGCGAAAGAAAGAAAAATCCATGAAAAAAATGCCGAATTTTAAATAAAAGACAGGATCAGTGTTTTGATCCTTTTGCTTTAGGCTCAAGTATGTTTTGGTCTTAACCAGTCAATTACTATTATTGGTCCTGTCTTTAAAATGAAGACCTCACCCTAGTCCTTGCCTGTACTGAAGTGAAAAGCAATCTTAAACTGTCCTTGTAATGTATGTTCTTGTGTTGAGTTAGTTATGTAAAGTTTCTAAGTGAGTAGTAAATCACAGAACCTCCTTGTGAATTAGACAAATGGTGCTTTTGGAAGGAACTGGAGTGAATGGGGAAACATTTTTATACTTGGAATTAAATAATATACCCATGTAGCTAAGAGGATCTTCGGTTACAGAGCCCAGCCAAGGCACTGAAGACAAAAGTTTTCTTAAATTGTGAAGAAGCAGTTAAAACTTAATCCCATCTTCGTTGACTGCTGTTTACTATTTTATATAATTTAAGTGTGTCTTCAACTTAATTATTTTCCGGAGATGCTCGTAATGAACTTTAATGTGATCCATACTCAATTTACAGTCAAATGACTATTTTGAAATACCACTGAAACTTATTTAAAGATTATACCCTGTTACGGAATAGTGTTTCTGTTTAGTTAGGAAAACTGTTACACAGTTTAAAAATCTAAAATCTGTAATGAATATTTTTCTGTAGTTACAAAAATGAGGGGTCAGGGTTGTTAAGGCCATCACTTAACCCTGGTATTTAAGAACATGTTTTTGTTTTGTCACATTGAACATGACAATTTTGTGAAAATAAGGGACTTCCTTTCTTGACTCATAAATTGGAGAAAGTGACTTCTTCAGTTGAAAGGTGAGGTTCTTTTAGTTTCCTATGCTGCTTTCTAAACACATGGACTCTGTTCTTTAGAACAACTGATGACTCTCATCTCTGCTGCGCGGGAATACGAAATAGAGTTCATCTATGCTATCTCACCTGGGTTGGATATTACCTTTTCTAATCCCAAGGAAGTTTCTACATTGAAACGCAAACTGGATCAGGTAACTTCCTTAACTTTTTCATTATTTTTCCCTGAATTTGTACCTGAAACTAGATTTTCTGAGTTGTTTTTACTTTGATGTTAAAAGAAGAGCTAATTCATACTTTTTTGTTTCTGTACAGATTTCTTTCTTTAATGCTTTTGATAGAGGGATATTTTCTAAAGTGAGTTCACTGGAGGTACCAGTGCTTCTTAAACTATATTTTGCATAAGAACTTCCTTAGAAATGATGCTTAAAAGAATGCTGACTAATAGTCTCCATTCCCAGAGATTCTTCCACTGATTCGGGGTGGGGAGTTGTCTCAGAGTCTAGGTGATTCTGCGCTAAGTGTCCAGACCCACATTTTTGAGAAACTCTATGTACTATTGGGTGCTTGACTGAATTTGTGACTGAGGTTATAGAAACAGCGTTTTACCTGTTAGACATCAGTTCCTTCAGTTATATGAACAAGAGGTGTAATTTAGTCTGGAAATGATTAGTTTCCCAAGATGAGAAGGAAAATAGACTAAGTAAATAGGTAAGCTGTTGGTGAACCAGATTGCATTCTAAATTCTACTTAACCTAAAAGGTGCGTAACTTTTTTTGTAAATTTGCAGATACATATGTTTGCTGATATATAAATACATAATTTTTTATTAGGTAAAAGTTTGTTATTTGCGGCATTAAAATGGCTGGTAAACATTAAAGGTAGTTAAATTTCCATGAATATGCTGTTAAGTTATTTTCCTGTTTGATCAACTTCTCCTGTGGTACTCTTTCTGATTCATGGCCTAGTTAAAATTTATGTGCAAAGAGATTAATTAGGATCAGTGTATTTTTTGGGACTAGAACAGGCCTGGTTTTTCATGTCATGAGTTAACTTATTGTTCATGTTTTCATATTTTTCTGACAGTTTGATCTTTTATAATTAGCTGCTAAGGTGGTAGGTAGGCCACATAGTATTCAGTAGAAGCTTTGTTGGAACATACTGGCAGAATGCATTCAAACCCATATGAAAAAAGTGGGTCCCAAAACTGTCTAGCTTTTTAACATAGGAAATGTAAAAACAGTAGGTTCGGCTTTGAACATTTTACTAAGGGAAATACTTTACTTTTAAATACAACTATTAAGTACATACTTTGATATTTGGAATCCTGTATTTTTACTCAAGATGAGCTGGTAATACCTCTTGTTTTTTTTCTTTTCCTAGGTTTCTCAGTTTGGGTGCAGGTCATTTGCCTTGCTTTTTGATGATATTGACCATAATATGTGTGCAGCAGACAAAGAGGTGTTCAGTTCTTTTGCTCATGCCCAGGTCTCCATCACAAATGAAATTTATCAGTACCTAGGAGAACCAGAAACGTTCCTCTTCTGTCCCACAGGTATTGTATATAATAGCTTTGTAGTTGTCTACTCTTGAAATACAGGGTTCAGCACAAATAATGCCCCTTTTTTATTACAAAATCGTAAGCATGTAATTCAGTAACATAACTATCACACTCAAGCACACTATGTGACAGTTTATGTTAAATGTTCAAATTGAAACTATAAATTATTGCCCTAGCTGGTGTGGCTCAGAGCTGGTGTGGCTCTGTGGATTGAGTGCTGGCATGCAAACCAAAGGGTCGCCAGTTCGATTCTCGGTGTAGGCATGTTGCAGGCCAGGTCCCCAGTAGGGGGCACGCAAGATGCAAACACATGTTTCTCTCCCTCGTTTTCTCCCTCTCTTCCCCTCTCTAAAAATAAATAAATCTTTTTTAAGAACTTTAAAAACATATTTAAAAACCTATAAATTATTACATCCATATTATTATTACCTTACCAACCTCACTCAAGCAGGCATTACTTCTGCTGGACTCTGTGCATTAACTTTCAAAAGACTAAGTATGGGCTTTATTGTGTTGTCTTCTCTCTCTTGGGTGTATAAAGGTAGGAATTCTTCTAGAAGATAGTGTTCAAGGTCTTAAACTGGAGAAATTTTAGGGCCTTATATAAGACAACTGAAAAGGCAAAAGATTTTATGTATTTTTTAGTACTGGAAATACCAATAATCCCCCATTATTCATGTTTCGATTTCTGTGGCTTCAGTAACCTGTGGTGAACTATGGTAAAAATATTATATGATACCCGCTTGCTAGTAACTTAGCTATCTGGTTGTCGGATTGGCTGTGGATGTATTGCCGTGCTTCTGGACAGGTAACCCTTATTTTACTTAAAATGGCCCCAAAGTGTGAGAGTAGTGATGCTGGCAGTTCAGATGTGCCAAAGAGAAGGTGTAAAAGTGAAAAAGTGAGTACAGTAAAATGAGATATCTTGAGACACCATATTCACACTTGTTACAGTGTATTGTTATAATTGTTCTATTTTACTACTAGTTAATCTCTGTGCTTAATTTATAAATTAAACTTTATCATAGGTCTATATGTATAGGAACAAACAGCATTTACAGGGTTCGGTACCAGCCGAGGTTTTAGGCATCCATTGGGGGTCTTGGAACGTACACCCCAGCAGATAAGGGGGGACGACTATATATGAACAGTATCAAAATGAAAATTAGAAAAAAACGAATTTACATAGCTTTTAACTTAATCACTTTTCATTTTCTCTTATCCTTTTTTCTGCCCATGCATCTCTGTGTCCTTTCTCGCTCCTCCCATTCCCAGCTGGGCTCTTACTTTTCAGAAGTCAGCAGGAAAAGCTTAGTATTTTTTTCCTTTTCCTTCCTCTCCTTCCTTCTCTTATTTCTTCCACCGAAAATGTTTTAGTTCTTTAGTTTCCTCTCAAAATTCAGCTTTAAGAAATTTTCCCAAGAATTGACTTATTTAGGAAGACATAAATAAGAAATAAATCCTAAGAAATTTTAGACAACTTAATTTTGTGTGTGTGCCTGTCTTGAGTATTGAGCCATGGACCTGATCTTGGTGATCTGATACCACACATACTCAAATGATAGTAAGATTATACTGGGAATTACTTAGTTCACTATAAATTATAATTTAGTTGCAGTTGAGAACTAGTAACCAGATAATGTTGCAATCTTTGTTACAATGTCAGTTCAGTCTATTTGGCCTCTGATTGTAACACAAGACACATAGGCAATGTAGAATTATGTTAAAAATGCTAATTTTTTAAATTATTTCTTTAGTAAACTTGTATTTCTAGCAATTATAGGCTTGATCTGTACTACTATTAGAGGGAGAATATCAGATTTTATGAATTGACTTTTTTTTTAAATGACTGATGCTTAAATGAACTTCCCACTTAAGTTTACTTCTTTTGGGGCATGATACAGAGGCCTTTTGTGATTTGGATGAAAGGGTTTAAAATTGGTAGACATTTTTTCCCCTCATTTAAAAACTCATGACCATTTCACTTCTGACTATTTTACTTATGTTCCTCCTGCATTCAGAATATTGTGGCACTTTCTGTTACCCAAACGTGTCTCAGTCTCCTTATTTAAGGACTGTGGGTGAAAAGCTTCTACCTGGAATTGAGGTGCTTTGGACAGGTAAGTCTTTTAAGATTTATACAGTAAAACTTTAGGACCCAGAGAAATTAGTTGATCTGGTTAATTAGATACTTTTAAAATACTGATCCTTAACCAGAAAACTTTCTTACTAAAAATTTCTTTCTTGGTTCTGTCTGGGTAGCTCAGTTGGTTGGAGTGTTGTCCCCGTACTCCAGGGTTGCAGGTTCAGTCCTTGGTCAGGGCACATATGAGAATCAACCAATGAATGCATAAATAAGCGGAACAACAAAAATAAATGTTTTTCTCGGTCTCCCTTCCTCAATAAATAATTAAGTACATAGGTAAAATTTAAAATTCTCTTCTACAAAGTATACTTTTTCACTTAGTATTAAAAACATCTTTGAGGATTTCCAATGAATCTAAACATTATTTATTGATAAATAATAGATCTATTTGGAATGGGGCTAAAGGATATTGATCCCAGTCTTAGGAGCCTGTTCTTTTTTATAAAATGAAAGCTGTCTTGCTAGATTGACAGCTAATAATCAACAAGCTATATTAGCTTTTATTCTAAGAATTAAGGTTAGAAAACCTTCCAGGATTTAGGTTAATTGGGATTTGTCTAATTAAGGATATACTGTATTATAATGGAAAAAAAAATTTACCTGTAAATTTGTTTATTAACATACTGGTGTCAGGAAGCTTGCCCAAACCTTAAATATTTATACCTTTAGACTAATTGTGTCTCTAGAGATCTGAAGAAATATTGGGAGGGGGGAATGAATAAAACCAAGTAAAAAGACATTATTTTAAAAAGCGAAATTGTTAGTATACATATAACAAAGAAAATAGAATGAAATATTGTATGCAGTATGTTTTGAAGAACCATGTGTGAAGGTGTTTTAACTAAAGGTGGTCATTATTTCTAGGTCCCAAAGTTGTTTCTAAAGAAATTCCAGTAGAGTCCATTGAAGAGGTTTCTAAGATCATTAAGAGAGCTCCCGTAATCTGGGATAACATTCATGCTAATGATTATGATCAGAAGAGACTGTTTCTGGGCCCATACAAAGGAAGGTCCACAGAACTCATCCCACGGTTAAAAGGAGTCCTGACTAATCCAAATTGTGAATTTGAAGCCAACTATGTTGCTATCCACACCCTTGCCACCTGGTACAGATCAAACATGAATGGAGTGAGAAAAGATGTAGTGATGAGTAAGTATACTACTTTACCCTTGACCACAGTTTAAGAGATTTTTTTAAAGATGTGTTGTTTATTCCTATGAATGAGATACGTACAGGCAAATGTATGGTAGAGGAAGGGCTGGAGTGGCTTTGGACAGATTACCTAACAGCTGCCTGGCCTCCGGCATTTTTTGTTTTTAAAATGTGTCTTAGCCTTTGAGTACTAGACTGGCTAGTTTTTTAGTGTTAATGTTATCTCTAGATTCTGATTCAGTTTATGTTTTCCGGTGATTTTTATTCAATGGGATAGTTTAGGTGAGCTATTCTTATCTGAGGTTTTTCACATATTTAGATTCAGCTTACATTTATGAAACATTTTCTCATTTTTTTAAACATTGGCTTTCTGAATTTTTATTTATAAGAAAATTTGATTATTTTCAATTAAGAGAATGCTGACTAGTTTTTATTCATTAACATTTAAACACCTATTGTGTGGCAAGTGCATCTTCCTGGGCACTAAGGGTGCAAAGAATGAAGTAGTCCCTGCTTTTGAAGAACAGTCTGGTGTTGTATAAAGCATATAGGCAACTGTACTATATATAATAAGTGCTGAGATAATTATCTACAAAGTGCTATAGGAACACAGAGGAGGGAGTGATTAATTCTGATAAGCAAATTAATGGTAAGAAACAATTTTATAGAGGAAGGAATACTTAAAGTGGGTCAAAGTATTAATAAAGTTTGTTGGGTATTAAAGGGTTGGTGGGCTGGAGGTGAAAACTGGATACCGAAAATTCAAAGTTATTTGAATTTTAATTCATTTGGGGGTGTTGAAATGGGACATTATGATGCTTGGTGGTATGTAGTTATATGCTTGTTTGTTTTTTTTTTAGAATTTATTGGTGTAACATTGGTTAATAAGGTCATACAATTTTTAGGTGTACATTTCTATGATAAATGATCTGTGTATTGCATTGTGTGCCTACCACCCACAGTAAAATCATATTCCGTCACCATATATTTGGTGTGTAGCTGTGTTCTCTTTCTCAGTTCTGTACCCCTACTTCCAATTCTGTTTATTGAATTAATGCCTCCCTTTAAAGCTCAGTCATTGTTACCCTTCCTCTCCCTAATAAAAACACACAAAATTAGGGATATAATCCCCATGCCTTCTATATTCATGGCTCTTAGCTTCTATCTTTTTTAAGGCAGGGCATGAAGCATGTTGAGGAGACATTAGCCAAACTGGGCCATGAATAGGGAAATCAGAAGAATAGCTAAGAATAGAGGGTTCTGAATATCAAGCCAGAGTTCAGACGTAATTTTTTTCTGCCACTATCCTGGTTCAGAGTTTCATTATTTGCTTATTATCTATGCTCCTACGTGGACTTTCTAATAGATTTTACTCTTTCTCCCCATTGCATTTATTACTTTGCCCATTATTTTTTAATTATTTGCCCATTAAGTTATCCCCTGAAGGGTAGGGAATGTTTTCTTTATGGACAGCATTGTGCCTTTAACCTTGCATTCCCAATAATTGGTACTCAGTGGACATTTATGAATGACATTTACAGTAAATCTAAAATTAGTGTTTTTTATTTCAATTGGGACTTTACATTTAGCAGTACATTTACATGACTATTTAAAGTGAAGTTGGTCAGTGAAGGGTCTTGGTAGTATTTGCATTTTTATGTTTCAGGCTTGTTCTTGCTCCAGTTCTTTGCTTTACTTGTACTGTAACAATCAGTGTTTTACATTTGTCCCTCGTCACTTTCAGGAAGCTTTTGTAATCAAAACTGTTTTTGTGCTCTTTCTCTTTTTTTTTGCAGCTGACAGTGAAGACAGTACTGTATCAATCCAAATAAAGTTAGAAAATGAAGGCAGTGATGAAGATATTGAAACTGATATACTTTATAGCCCACAGATGGCTCTAAAGCTAGCTTTAACAGAATGGTTACAGGAATTTGGTGTACCTCATCAGTACAGTAGTGAGTTTTGGCGATTTTTTATTAAGGGGGTGGGATCATGTGGTTTGAGTCATAAAGAACATTTTTGATGTGCTTTGTCATAGGCCCACCAAGCAAAATGATTAGGGGTCTAGAGAAAAGTAAGGTTTTTAAAAATCTTTCTTTTGGTCTTAAATAGCTTTTATCTTGATGGAATGCTAATTTGTTTGCAAAATATTTATTTTAAAATAGTTACTTAACTGTTTTTAAATACGGATTTTCAAAAGAGGTGATAATGGGTATTGGAATGTTTAGGGATGTTTATCCTCTTTCTCTTTTTTCCCTATTTCCCTGGTGGTTTTTAGAGAAATTATACTTTTCTCAGGGTTCATAATATTTGGAAGCTGATACTAAGGTTCCAGTTATAGATATAAGAAAATATTTCTTTAGCTGTGATTTGTTCTGTTTCTAATATTGATTATCTTTTTGGCAATTTATTTTTGTAGGTAGGCAAGTTGCACACAGTGGAGCCAAAGCAAGTGTAGTTGATGGGAGTCCCTTAGTTGCAGCACCCTCTTTAAATGCGACAACTGTAGTTACAACAGTTTACCAGGAGCCCATTATGAGCCAGGGAGCAGCCTTGAGCAGTGAGCCTACAGCTCTGACCAAGGAAGAAGAAAAGAAACAGCCAGATGAGGAACCTATGGACATGGTAGTGGAAAAGCAAGAAGAAACAGACAGCAAGAATGACAATCAAATACTAACTGAAATTGTAGAAGCTAAAATGTCAGAGGAATTGAAACCAATGGACACTGATAAAGAGAGCATAGCTGAATCAAAATCCCCAGAGATGTCTATGCAGGAAGATTGCATCAGTGATATTGCCCCTATGCAGACTGATGAACAGACAAACAAGGAGCAGTTTGTGCCAGGTCCAAATGAAAAGCCTTTGTACACTGTAGAGCAAGTGACTCTGGAGGATTTGCAGTTACTTGCTGATCTTTTCTACCTGCCCTATGAGCATGGACCCAAAGGAGCACAGATGTTACGAGAGTTCCAGTGGCTTCGAGCAAATAGCAGTGTTGTCAGTGTCAATTGCAAAGGAAAAGACTCTGAAAAAGTGAGTATGCTTAATTTACCTGCTTCTCTAGCCTGGATGGGTCCCCTGGTGATACGGGGGAGGTATTAAATGAATACTTTGGTAACTGGCAGGAAATTGGCCACATCTTAGAATATAGTCTGTGAAGTGAATGTGGACTCTACTAAATCTGGTATGCACAGTTCCATTGTTGGACCTTATAGTTCAGAATGAAAGAGAGTCATAGTTGATTATTTTAGGAATATTTGTCTGTTTGAGCAGTCACAAACTTTAAAACAAAATTTTTTTAAATTTATTCATTTTTGGAGAGCGAGACCGATTTGTTCCGCTTGTTTATGCATTCGTTGGTTGATTCTTGTATGTGCCCAGAGCAGGGATCAAACCCTCAACCTTGGTATATTCGTCAGTGCTCTAACCAGCTGAGCTACTGGGCCAGGCAGACATGTAGTTTTATTGTTTGAGGAATTTAAGCTCAGTCATTCTTTAGTGGTTAGGATAAATTGCGGGCACCTGATAATCAGTTTAGTCTATGATTATGTTTTAGATGATTTTGTTAAGCTTGCAATTTTTTGAGTCTTTTTATTGATCCTCACTAGATTGAAGAATGGCGGTCACGAGCAGCCAAGTTTGAAGAGATGTGCGGACTAGTGATGGGAATGTTCACTCGACTTTCCAATTGTGCCAACAGGACAATCCTTTATGACATGTACTCCTATGTTTGGGATATCAAGAGTATAATGTCAATGGTGAAGTCTTTTGTACAGTGGTTAGGTAGGTGCACCGGGAATAATGTCTTCTCAGATATATTGTCCCTTTAAAAGAAAAAAAAGACAAGATTATCCCACAGGGAGAAAAACCTTTAGGGAACTTGTGAATTTCCAACTGTTTAAATTCTTTGCCTAGAGTTTCTTCAGACATGTAGCCATGTTGCAGGCTTGAGGTGCAAGTCTCAGTAAATGCATAGAGCACATTGATTTTTCTCCCTTGGGCTAATTCAGCATAAATATTTTGAAAATGTGTTAGAAAGTACTGACTTTAACTTGCTATGACTGAATGCTTCCTGGATGGAACCCTGTATACCATTTTTATCTGATTTGGAGACAAGACACTATGAATTGTGACTGGGTAAGCTCTCTGCTGCTTGCTGTGTCTCGATAACATTAATGCTGTTTAATAGAACAATTGCCGAAATGACCTAAGGGGCCTGGCAAGAGGAAGCCATCCTCCCAGCCCTGTGCGCATGCGAGCTTTAGTGGTGGGCTATTCTGGTGCTACTTGGTATTACTTTACATGGCTTTTTTCTTTATTTCTCTACCAAGTAATTGGTTTTGGCAGGGGATGGAAATTGCAGCCCCCTAAAAACTCTGTTCATTAAATGGACTTCTGTATGTCGTCTTTGAAAACCGAATTTTTTTATTTTTATTTTTTCTGGGAAATGTTCAAACTTGGTAAAAAGCACCAGCATGGCCAAGTTTCTCCAGGGACCTCATTTCATTTCCAGGTTATCAGTCCAGCTGTAAGGAATATGTAATGGGCTTAAAATACAGCACACAGCAGGCAGCAAGGCGAACTGGCATGTCATGGTTTTCATAGTAGTCACAAATACGATGATGGGTTACGTGGTCTTGGTTGTGAAGTAGATGTGTGAAAAGCTGTGAGCTTAGGTTAACTAAGAAACAGTGGCAATGAGATTATCACTTTCTGTCTCTACACTTCGGGCTCTTAAATATTAAAAATATAATAATTTCCCTATGATACAACTAATTAGCAGCTAAGAGTATAGTCTTTGATTGTTAATTTGAAAATGTAGAACTTCGGGTTCCTGTGTATATAGCACAACAGGTGGAACAGAGATTTTTGACCTCTTGTTGAAAGGCTCCAAGAGATCATTTTCTGTGCTATATCTCTGCTCTTTGGCTCAGGAAAAACCTCTATGTTCATAGTTGGATGACAGCAATTGCCTTCTGGGCTTCTGGCCAGGGGGTTATAATTAGCCCTTATAGGGATTTAAATCTTAAGTTTCCACCCTGCTTTTAATTCAAGAATTATTAAAAATTAAATAATTCTCTTTTTTAAATCCTCACCTGAGGATATGTGTATTGATTTTAAGGGGGGGGGGCGTGGAAGGGAGAGAGAAAGAAAAAGAAACTTTCATGTGAGAAACATCAATTGATTGCATCCCGCACACACCCCGACTGGGAATTGAACCCACAGCCTTTTGGTGTACAGTACGATGCTCCAACCAACTCAGCCACCTGCCGGGGCAAAAACTAAATTCTTGATTAGATAGTTACTGTGTTGTTTCCACTCAGGCTTTACCTCTGTACTGTCCAGTTCTCGTGCAGCTTTCCCAGACTGTATAGAGCTGTTGTACAGTCTGAAGGTCAGAGCATCTTAGAAGTTTTAAATGATCATCTTTGTATTCACATAGCTTTACCAAAAGCTCACAATAAGTAGAGTATTTTTATGGTTCTATAATAATTTCAGGGAGTTACTGATTAGAACCCTTTGTTTTCCTCCTTTCTCCAGTCCAGTTGGCATTCAGTCCTTTAAAGAATGTGGCTATGCAGTACTTTTGATTACTAACGACTTCTATTATCTTCTTCCCCATTGTGTACAGATGGGAGAATCCTCAGCACAAGTGTCTACTACTATTGGATGGACAGCGGCAGATGTTCACAGCGCGTCATGATTAATTAGTTTAAATTGAAAGGTTCTATTTGTGAGGTAGCTCAGGTAGATTTAAGGGCAGTAGGCATGAACTGAAGTCACGTTTGCGCAGCGACTGAGGCATTAACCATGTTTTCATTTACACAGCTCTTCGTACATGCAGCTTTTTATTATAATAGTTGGAAGTGCTAGTTATGTTGTAGTCTCAAAGTGGGGAATAGGGGAAATTGGCTGATCTTAAAGTTTGAGAGGTACAGTTGTTTTTCTGCAGTGTACATTTACACTGAGCTATGGAATGGGGCAGGTTCTCTTCATGGCCTAAATTTTGACCCCATTTCATATTTATTTTACAAATATTAACATTATATATATATTTATATTTTTAAAAGTACCCCTACCCCTAAAAAATGACAAACCTGGGTATAAACTTCTAAAGGGCGTGAATTGTCAGCAAAAAAATTGGTTTGCTTTGGGACTGTCTGACTAGCACACTATACCTTGTACTGATGAGACTGTTAACTTGAACAGGAGGTAGAATGCTGTCTTCAAATGGAAAAGAACTATATTGCGCTGCTTATCTTGTCAGAAGACTAGGCAGGTGATTCTGATTTGGCCTCCAAATATTTGCCTTTAATTATCTCTTATTGTTAGCTGCATTCATTGCCTGTGAATATGAAGTTGGTTAAGTGGTGAACCTTAATGCTGACTTCTGGACCTCAAAGTCTGCTGCTCCGTGCATGTGTTCAGTGCACTGCAAAGATTATAATGGTCAGTCAGAGGAGCCAGATAATTGTCATACTTTCGAGAAAAGTATGTTTTAGCTTTGGACAAATTAGGAGCATCAGTCGGCTCTTCTTATTGTTCAGTTTCTGTCAGGCTAGTATTGTTACTAGCCCAGTCTGAATTTGGATTGTCCTTGTTAGGGGAAAAAAGAAATTCTCATTGTGTTGCTGTCAACTAGTGAATAATTTCCCTTATTCATTCTGCTGACCTTAGTTTTCTGACAAGATTAACCCTTTTCTCCCCCTTTCCCCTTTCCTGTACCCTTCCTCAAAATATAAAATGTGACTTCAGGCAGGTTTGATTCCTTCATGGGCTGTGATAATAAAATGTCTTATTATTTGTCTCATTAATTTCACTTTATAGTTACTATAATTTCACTACAGAGCAAGCAGCTAACTTTATTTTTATAGCTGTTTCCAGGGGATATATAAACTTGATCCAGACAAACTTGAGACTTAATTTTTCTTCCAACAATTAAAAAAAGGGTAGAAATCTTAACAGTATTTATTCGTTAATCAGAGAAAGGAATCTCAGTATTGAAAATTCCATTATGAATTTCTTAAAAATTATTATCACAGCCTTGTCCTGAAACCCTGGATTATTATTGTTAGAGAGCTATTCCACGAAGTGTTTGTTAGTTTGTTGGACGTTTGAGACCCCAGGAAATCCCCTTTCTCGTAACGTTCTCCGCTTGGATCTGATCTCAACAGGGTGTCGTAGTCATTCTTCAGCACAGTTCTTAATTGGAGACCAAGAACCCTGGGCCTTTAGAGGTGGTCTAGCAGGAGAGTTCCAGGTATCAATATGAATTCACAACTGAATTGACATTTTCTTTGTTTTATGAGAAACCTTATGTTGCGCATCAGATGGCTGGAAGGATTGGTCTGCCGAAGGCTTTCTAGTCCCAAATTCAATTTAGTTACATAGCTGGATTTTAAATCAAATTTTCCTCCTCTTTCACAGTAATTTCTGAAGGAGATGCTGCCAATTCCCCCCGCGCCCGCGAAGCGCAGCGGCTCTAGGTATACACTTCACATTGTTTCTTTGCAGGTCGCACAGCATTTTAATCTGCGCCCGCAATGCACAATGCGCGCATGCTTGTCTGCCAATGGAAACTCCATGAGCAAAAATGATGACTATTTATGCAAATGAATGGTGAAAGGGCTTTTGGATACTTTCACAATTATTTTATAAATAAAACTTATACTTGACAGAACAGTCTATTAATGAAAATGTGAACAGAGTATGAAGCATTTTTTGGTATTACAATTTGTTCATGGACTTTTCAGGTGCTCTACTTTTCTCCCCCCAACAGGTGCTCTGCTGCGCACAGCAAACTGAAGCGCATTGCTTTGGGGATAAAGCGTCTCCTGGACAGATAACCCTCTTCAGACCAAACCTCTCCTCCTGACATTCTGTTTGCCATCTTTTAGTAGAAAGATGGTCTATATGAGATTGGTTTTTCTTTAAAAAAAAAAAAAAAAAAAATCGGAGATTGTTTTGTTTTGTTTTGTTTTGTTTTTACTGTAAATTTAAATCCATATTAGTATGCCACTAAAACTATGTAACTCATTCTGGGTAATTTCTATTCAGAAGCATTCCCCTCCCCCAGCAAAGAGGTGTTTATATTAGTAAAGAATAGTACACCCCTCTTCTTTAGGTCTGCCTGCAGTAGCCAGTTAATATTAAGTTGGTAATCTGCAGTGCACACCCATGTGAAGAAGTAGATATTTTCCCAACACTAACTCATCTCCTTTTTTTTCCCTTCCACAGCGTTTGCTGCCAATTGATGGGGCAAATGATCTCTTTTTTCAACCACCCCCACTGACTCCTACCTCCAAAGTTTATACTATCAGACCATATTTTCCTAAAGATGAGGTAATTGTCTACCTACCAGCCTGGTATATGATTATGGTGCACATTACTACTTTTCTTTGGACTTCTGGTTAATCAGTTCTGCCTTAAACATGAATTTCAGATGGAGTTAACTAAAAATTGATCATGGGTGGGGGTATATTTAGGGAAGAGCCTAAGGAGTTCAGACTCTTAACATCTTGTGATATGTTCTTTAATTCTTCCCCTTAAAAAAGAAAATCAGATGAAACATATTCAGAGTTGGAATTACTAAACATTCAGTTTGTCTAAATGATATGTTGTCTTTGGCTGCTTTTCTCTGATGTATTGTATTCTGTAATTTTCCACTGGGAAGTGACTACGTGCTATAGACAGCTACAGAGAAAAGCAAACCTGTTTAAAGACAATAACATCTTTAAAACATGTCTCAGAAAACGGAGAGAATCTCATAGTTTGCTGGTTTGTTTTTTTTTTTTTAAATGATGTTAAGAGTGAGAGGAAGGGAGGGAGAAAAAGAAACGTCTATTTGTTATTCCAATTATTTGTGCATTCATTGGGTGCTGCTTGTATGTGCCCTGGCCAGGGATTGAACCCGCAGCCTTGGTGTATCAGAGCATCGCTCTAACCAACTTAGCTACACAGCCAGGGCAGTTTGCTGGATTTTGAATCCACTACTTACTCCCTATAACTAGCCATTCCCTGCAAAGCACTTCTTAGTGTTTACTGTAACCATTCTGCTTTCTGCTGGTGTTACAATTATGACTCAATGAGTAAATGTTAATTTAATAAAACAAAGGCGATAATTATGACAAGCCAGACATTTTGTCTTAGAAGTCCAGACTGATTTATGAGTCACATTGTTGTTAAATTCTGTTGCCTTCTTTCTTGGTGTGTTGCTTAACTAGATTATATTTTCAGGCTTCCGTGTACAAGATTTGCAGAGAAATGTATGACGATGGAGTGGGTTTACCTTTTCAAAGTCAGCCTGACCTTATTGGAGACAAGTATGTGATGAAGTATTTGGATTTGTTGGATTTGGGAAATAAATATTTCAAAGCCAGGTTTATCAGGTTGAGGGGAGGTGATGACTGGCAGTACAGTTTTTTAGAAATCTCACTTTAGTTTTAAATAAACGTGAACATTAATATGTGTGTATTTCCAGTTTCTTTGTACACCAAGTGTAGTTTCCACAGGTTCAAGTGCTTTGGACCTTGAGGTCTGAATTCATCACTGAGGTCTGAATTTTGTGTCGGTAATTTATAAACTCACTTTGGCCTCTTTTCTTTGAGCAGGTTAGTAGGAGGGCTGCTTTCCCTCAGCCTGGATTATTGCTTTGTCCTAGAAGATGAAGATGGCATATGTGGCTATGCCCTGGGCACTGTAGATGTGACCCCCTTCATTAAGAAATGTAAAATTTCCTGGATTCCCTTCATGCAAGAGAAGTATACCAAGCCAAATGGTGACAAAGAACTGTCTGAGGCGGAGGTAATGCACAGGTTTAGAATCATACTATAGTAATTTTTACTTAAGTACTTACTAAAATAAAAAGGAAGCAGATAACATTTTTCCTGTTTTCTTTTTCCTTCCTCCCTTCCTTCCTTCAAGAAGATACATCTTAAAGTCTCAGTGCTTTCTAAATTTCTTACAGACGAGAATAAGGGCTTATTCTTAGCATGCGCCTTTCCACTGTTCCTTCAGTGTTAGGACAATTTTTGATTTGGAAGCATTGTAATAACTTTATCAAGTAAAAACACAATGTAGGCTGTGAGAGAACCTTTCTTTTTTTCTCCCTGTTTTGAAGCACCAAATTTAAGGATGTATGGTCTTTTCTCTGGGTACTCAGGGCAAGTATAGGTAATTAAAATCTCTTTGCTTGGTTGTCAGGAGGCTAACTTGGCTTTCTTAGTAATGCTTTTCTCATTATAATTAAACAATAGGGGTGAGCTCCTCTGAGAGTCTACCTTCTGACAGGAGCACTTCTTGTTATGTATCTGTTCCAACTTCATTGAATCTTTCCTCTAAAAACTATGCCTGACATTGATCAGGTAATGATTGTTTTGGTATATACTTCAGTATATGCATTTTTTAAAGTAGTTCTTTCTTAAGGATAATTTTCATGTTCAATAAATACTTTCAGCTATATTTGGACTCTTACTTTGCTCTTCTTTCCCTTTTCTGAAATTCTCTGCCCCTGTCCCCACACCAGTGTATTCATGTCCTCTCTGTAGTTTTTTATTTTTCACCTTCTGCCCTAGCCAGATGGCTATGTAATAAATGGCTGGTTTGGAGTGGCCTCACTAAGGGGTTACGTTGATGCTGGCTACAGTGTGACGGTGGTTGAGCTGTTGATGTGCTGCTGTTTCGTGTCTGACAATTACAGTTTTCAGCATAAGAACGTATAAAGAATGACCAGTGTGTCTAATAACAAACCTTTTTTGAAAAAGTAGTGAAATGTACATTACATAAAAGTTATCTTAACCATTTTTAAGTGTACATATATACAGTTCAGTAGCATTAAGTACATTAACATTTTTTGTGAAAGCCATACAAACTTAAAAAATATATTTTGAAGAATTTTAAATTTAAAGAATTTACAGAGATAATACAGAGCTCCTGTATATCCCTCACCCATTTTCTATATATTCATCAAAGTCTAAGAAACCAACTTTGGTATGTTACTATAAATTTCACTATTTACTCACCAGTGTTTGCGACAAAGTCCTTTTTCTGTCCCAGGATTCAATCCAAGATAATACCATATTATGTTTGGGAAAAGTTTTTAAAAGTGAAAACGCTTCAGCTAGAACTATAAGCTAATTCTGCATGTGATAATTATGATTGGAAGAGTTATTGAATATTATTTGCCTTTTCTGTTGCTGAGTTCTGTAGTTGGGATATAGATATATGAGTGGCTGTTGAAAATCAAAAGATCCTAATTTTTAGAAAATTCTAATTTTTAGAAAATAATGTTGAGTTTCCACGAAGAGCAGGAAGTTTTGCCAGAAACTTTCCTTGCCAACTTCCCTTCTCTCATAAAGATGGATATTCACAAAAAAGTAACTGACCCAAGTGTAGCCAAAAGCATGATGGCCTGCCTCCTGTCTTCACTGAAGGCTAATGGTGAGTATGTCTGTGGAGTTGCTGGTGTTTAGGTTAGGTGGGGACAGGACTCTATTTTAGGATAAAAAGAAATGAATTATAGTGAATTTACATTCCCTTCCCCACTATTTATGATTTGACTTCTGCATTATTAGTTGTGCAAGAATTCCATGTGTATTAATCATTGAAAAATGCTGCTTTTTTACAATATAAATGCTTATTTTGTGCCTCGGTTAAATGAGAAGTGAGTACATGAGGTTATATTTATTTTGCCAGGAGACTCATAAATGATAGTTGAAAATTAAATGAACTCTGGGGAGAAATTTCATTTAGGAATGCAGTCACCCGTTGTTGTTTTTTTTTTTTTTGTTTTTTTTTTTTGAGTTTATCTAAACTCAACCTTCAAAAATACTTCATTTGGAGACTTTTTCTGTGAAGGGCCAGATAGTAAATATTCTAGGCTTTAAAGGCCACATACAGTTTCTGTTGCATAGTCTTTTTTTAAAACAGCCTTTTAAAAAATGTAAAAAACTGTTTAGCCTTTGGGCAGTTTTTGGAGTCCTCATTACAGGGTTGTGGATACATGAGAAATGCACTTACTGCATTTTTGTACCATTTGAGTCAGTGGTGTCTCGTTGTGGGATAATTGAAACAACTCTGGAGGAAGCATAATTCTTAGTGTTGTGCTTGGAACTGAATCATCCAGGTGGGTATATGAAGTATGTTAGAATATGCAACACATTTACTTATACTGGCTTATGACACACAGCGGAATAGGTGTGAGTCCCTCAATGGTACTTCATATTAAAACATTAAACAGAGATATCCTTTGCTTTGAGGTTTCTTAGAACCTTTTCCCCAAAAGGTTTTCTTTCTGGAGAAGTTTAACTTGTGGTTGAAATTGTTTGTTTTTTGTTTTTTTTTTTACTTAATCCCTTCACCTTTTTCACCCTGGTGGTTGAAGGTTTTTATTTTTTTATTAATGAGGTATATTTGACAGTTAAGAATGGGGTGGTGTGTGTGTGTGTTTGTGGTGTACAATTTGATTACTTGAAATACATTGTGAAATAATAACCACATTCAAGCTAGTTAACGTGTCCATTTAAGATAGTTATCACTGCAGTATTTAATAATGATTAATATTATTCATTGAACATTAATGCAAATTTTAAAAATTGGCATGAAATTTAGGGGCTGGTATAGACAAACTCCTGTTATGATACTGTTTGAGATCTGTTAAAGATTAGTCACAATTCATATCCATAATTCTAGTAATTAACACATTTTGATTATTTGTTTTATTTCTAGGCTCCCGGGGGGCTTTCTGTGAAGTGAGACCAGATGATAAAAGAATTCTGGAATTTTACAGCAAGTTAGGATGTTTTGAAATTGCAAAAATGGAAGGGTTTCCAAAGGATGTGGTTATACTTGGTCGGAGCCTGTGACATTTGGCGCTATGAACTGTCCGGAAGTCTCTTTAATTTCACCTGGTGGGTGGTGGTTGGGGTCTTCATGCAGTTCAGCTTCTGGAGTGGTAAACAGATCAGCCAATTGAGATTGGAAACAAAGAAGACTATGTAAAATTCACTCATCATACTTTGAGACTACTCACTGGATGGAAGAAGATAGTATTAGTGCACATCCTATATGAAACATGTGGGCCTCCTTTTGGGGTCTTGTGTTAGGTGTCAGGACCTCTTACATGGGCATATTGGGAGGGGGTCTTAAATAAATGTAGTCAGCACTGTTTTCTGCATCCAGTGTGGTTGCATTTCGCACCTAAGTAATCAGAAATCATTTGTCACCCTCGGCTTATTGAATGAAATGTCTCATTCTTTGGGGACATGGCAGAAAAGAGAAAGATTTAGTGGGTTTTGGAGGCCTCAGGGTGGAAATTCCAAGTGGGATGGTTGTGGCATAGTTTAAGCTGAATAATTTCAATTTTTGACAATTTTTCTGCTTTTTGTAATAAAGCCTTGGCCAGTTGCCTCCTGTAGTGATGATTGGTTCAGGTTTGTTGTGCTTTGTAGGGATAAATGTGCACCTGTTTGTGGCAAAAACCTAAAAATGACAAACTTGTAAATTTTTGTATATAAACTAGCTGTGATTTGCCTACCTTTGTGTTTACTGTTTTTGTAATTTTTTTTTAACTTTGAAAATGAAATGGTGTGATTCAGGATGGCACTTTGAATAATGTAAGTTAGTGAAAGGTAGCTTTTTCTTTTTCTTCTTTTTTTTTTTTAATTTTTAAAGTGCCTCCCACCTAGGGCTAGGCCACAACCGCTTTGGGTACAAGAGCCTAACTTCATAGGAGTCTTGTTGCAAGTGCAGTCACTTCTAGAAATTAACCTCAATGCAGGTCAGCATGTGAAATGTTAGGTTGACATCTGTCACGTAGGGTTCAGGGACTGTGATTGGTCCCGTTTGCCTTCAGATCAGGTGTCCTTTAATTTCAAGACCTGTTACTACTGGTTTTATTAAATCAAGAGTCTAATTCTTGCATGTTTGTATCAGATTTTTAAAAGAGAAAGAATGAGTATACTTTAACCAATGACTTAATGGTTATCTTTTCCTTTTAACCACAGATTCTGAAAGCTTCATGTATTTTGATTTAGATTTGGTGTTTTTAAGGGTTCTGAGCATGAGGCTAGCAGGTAATCTCCGCAGATTTTTTCATCATGGCTGGCTGACTTCTCCATAGATTTGTAACAGTATTTTATTATCAGCTTCCCTGCATTTTTGTATCAGCTCTTTAGTTTTGAGATAAGAGGGAAAGGGCAAGGAGAGGAAACTAGAAACATTTCCCTTCCTAGAATTCCATCAGGGTGGACTTTGAGAGTCTTAAAAGAGTGTAGTACCTAGAGTGGTACCACTAGTGACTTTCAACCAATGCCTATGAGTGTGCACTGAATGGGTGAGATGAAGGGAGGGAGGAAGGAAGGAGGCCTCATTTTCAGGGTAGAAACCTTTAACTGATAGGATATCAGGATGATAGTATGTTGGAAAGCTGGAACCAAGTTTGCATTTTCAAGGGCTGAGATGTGAAAGGAATATCTCTAGAAGATACTGTTCTAAATGGCTTTATGTCACTTGGTTTTCTCTTTAAGTACATTTTTTATACTAGTGAACTATTATGGCATTTTATCTGGAGGATTTCAGGGTCACCCTCCTATGGAAATCAAGATTTTTTTTTTAGCATTTGCTTGTGGCTTTTTCTTGGCTTCTAATAACTTTGGCTGGTCTTCTGGTCACAGGTGCTAACTGTGAAACAGATGTCCAGGCCTATACATACATCACTCTAGGATTGTAAAGTGCTAAGCTATCTTCTATGGTTATGAATATTTATTAAGGTTGGAATCACATTTCCTTGATTGTTTAGATCACAGCTCAGTTTCTGTAGAAAATGAACTGTAAAACTATCTGAAGACCATGCAAGAAGCAAAATAAAACTTGAATCGAATGTGTGTGGTGGTGTACTGTGTAAACATACTTGTTTCTGCCTCCTACCTTTCCTCTTGCCCTTCATGCGTCACCTACAAGTAGGAATTCCTCTCCACAGCTGTTCCAAGTTTATGGACAGGCTCTTGAAGGTTGTCCTTTTTCCCACTCCCATCTCCAATGAAAGACTTCCATCAGGTTTTCCTCAAGGCAAATCAAAAGTTAGGAAGTAGGTCCTTGGCCTAGCCACCCTTTTGCCAGTTATAACTCTGGGGTGAATTGGGGCAACTTGTTTGAGTGAGGTCCTCCTGCCAAATGGGATAAGGAACACGATTTGCCTGGTCTTCAGTCAAAGGCTGGAACAGAGGAGTCCAAGGCAGAAGTTAGTTTCTGGGCTCAATGGGAAGTATTGTACCAAAGCTGGGACGCTTGCGTCTGCCAGGAGCGGGAGTTAGTCCTCCGCCGGCCAGCGCCAGCGTCCAGCCAGCATCTGCCGCGCAGCGGAGGGCAGGCCATTTGGACAGTACGCTGCAAGGTCGTACGAGCAGGAAGCATCTCGGAGACGGCAGAACGGTTTGGGTACAAGATACCCGGGGCTGAGTCACCTCAGGCACCGCGGCTCACTTGGGGCAAAGGCAAATCAGCGCATTTACAATACTTGCTTTTGCAAGGGAAAATGTTGCCCTGAAACACCTCATTGGGGGAATTGGAAAGGTTTTTTTTTTGTTTTTTTTTTTTTTTTTTTTAAATCTAGTTCCCCTCTGACGATCGGGAGAGACAGACACTATATGTGATGAGCTAGCGAAAATGGAGGTAGGAGCCGCCCTCACAAAGCGTTGGTCATTGTAATGAGCAAGGACAGGAACACTAACTCCAAGGTCATGCTGCTTTCACAATGCTCCCTCTGTGGTCTCAATCCACGGGTCTGAGCAGAGGCCCCGCGCTCCAGGCCGAGGCTGGGCGGAAAAGCCTGCGGTCCGCAGTGTCTCGGTGGCGAGCGGTCCCTTTAATAGGCGGGGCCGGAACCTTCCGGAGTTCCCTACTTTGTACGTACGTGTCGGGGGTGGGGTTCCCGAGCAGCCCTTGCAGCATGGCCGCCGGGACCGCCGCCGCGTTAGCGTTTTTAAGTCAGGAGAGCCGAGTCCGAGCCGGGGGTGTTGGGGGGCTGCGGGCCCCGGCTCCAGTCACTATGGACAGTTTTTTCTTCGGTATTGAGAAAAGAGGGGATGAGGGTAGTCCTGGGGCGGTAAGAGGAAGGCCTAGGCAACAGGAATGCCTATGGATGCGCTCCGCGGTTGAGGTCGAAGGGTGGGCTCGCACGCGGTAGCTGAAGCGGAAGTGGTGGTGGCGAGACCCCCTGCCCAGATGTACGGGGCGTGGCCCGGGGCTGAGCGCCCCCGTTCTCCCCTGAGTTCCGAAGACGTGGGCGTGTAGATGCTGGTCTATCGGCTGCACGTGATGGAGGTTTGGTGAAACGCTCTCCCTTCCCCCACATACATGTACACTCACACTATTATCTCTTCCAGGATGTGAGCTCTCCGGCCACACCCGCTCTTTCACCTTCAAGGTAGAGGAAGAGGATGATGCAGAGCACGTGCTGGCTTTGACCATGGTGAGGGGTAGGGAAGGAAGGGTATTGGTGAATAGCTAAACTTGAGCAGGCAACTGATGCATCTACCTGTATTCCATCCCCAAACTCCCTTTTGCTGGGAGTCACCGCCTCTGCCCGACCTCCCAATGGCCCGCTCCCTTCGCGAGGTAATTCAGGGACCCCGAGGCTCAGAAAGTTCTAGGGTAGATGCCTCCACAGTGGTGTCAATACTTGCTTGGGGAGACCCCAAGGTCTTGTGTACCTTTCCCAGCTCTGCCTCACTGAGGGGGCCAAAGATGAGTGTAATGTGGTAGAAGTTGTGGCCCGGAACCATGACCACCAGGAGATTGCAGTCCCTGTGGCCAACCTCAAGTTGTCCTGCCAACCCATGGTGAGTTCCCTGGCTGTACCCTTCCGGGGTGGGGGAGAGCAGAGGTGGGCCAGGCCTTCATCCCTGTCTTCCTCCCAGCTCAGTTTGGATGACTTCCAGCTCCAACCTCCTGTAACCTTCCGCCTGAAGTCAGGTTCTGGTCCTGTGCGGATCACTGGCCGCCACCAGATTGGTGAGAGTTCTCTCCCTTGCCTCCAGTGGACTCTCCATCAGGTGTCCCCAGACTCACACTCTTTCCCCATCCCAGCCTCATATCCCTGTGTAGCTGCCATCCAGGTTCTACATGATGTGCCCTCCCCTCTCTGTCTTACTCATGCCTCTTTTATGGGACCTTCCTCAGCTTCTCCAGCTCCAGTGATGTGTGATCCTTTGGCTCTTTGTTACCCAGTTTAGTATCTGAGGTTCTTCCCATCTAGACCATACTCTGGGAGGTCAGGGCCCTGCAATCCTAACACCACAGTGGATGAATAAATGACATGTGATATGAAAGGGGTCTGGCTTTAACCTTGTCTCCCTTCCTTTACTATCTGTGTGTACACCAGTTACTGTAAGCAATGATGTTTCTGACGAAGAAGAGAGTGGAGAAGAGGGGAGTGAGGAGGAGGAAGCTGAGTTGTGCCCCATCCTTCCGGCCAAGAAGCAGAAGGGCAAGCCCTAGCCTTTCTTGGTGAGTGGGAGCGGAGGGTGCCCAGCAGGGGCTGGGGTAGCAGGAGGACCAGGCAAGGGCCTAGATGCTGATCCCGTCCTTGCTCTCCTCAGGTCAGCTAGCTGCCTGCCATGCATGCCATACACCATGCTGCTGTACAAGTATCAAGAATTTTAAATGTCTTCATTCAAAAGGGAGGGTAGGGTGGGAGGTCTTGGGCTGGTGGTAGGAAAAAGGGGGTCCCATTCTCCATAGGGTGCTGGTGTTCTTCTAACTTTATACCATACCTGGATGTTCCCTTTTCTCCAGAAGTGGGAGGAACTCTGAACTGTCCTGATCCTCTCTCCGCACTTGTCTTTGAGGTTGGAGGTCAGCATCCAAAGCTCAGGATTAAACGTTTTACACATTTTTTACATTTTGGATAAATGGTAAAATAAAGTGTAGAGTTTTTTTGTTTTGTTTTCTTTTGTGTGTGTGTGTGTGTGTGTGTGTTTTGCAATTCATGTGTGTTTCTTTCCCTGCTGGGGTGGCATTCCCCTAGGGACCACCAGGTGGCACTGTGGCAGCACTGAGGGTAGCCCCAGACCTGGGGGAGGGTGAGGAAATGTGGGATACTGCTATCCCCAGGCCAGGCTCAGGCCCAAACTGCCTTGCCAGAAGAGGACCTCCCAACACCAAGCCCATTCCCAGCTCCTACAGGTGGGGGAGGGCCATCCCAGGAGGTTATCACCATCCAAACAAGGGGTCTGGGCCTCTGTCAGCACTCAGGCTGATGGGCAGGGGGGCAGATAAGGGGGTTTAAGCAGCCAGAGGAATGTGCATCTCTAGCCCCATGAGGGGGCTCTGGGTAGGGAGGAGGCAAGTCTTTGCTCCTTCCAGTCTTGCAGGCTGTCTCTGAGCTGCTGTGGGGCCTTAGAAACCTGATTCCATGGGCCAGATGGAGGGGGCTGACCAGATTGGGTGACAGGGAAACCAGAATCCGGGTGGCCTGGCATATGGGGGCAGAGAGGAGCCCCTGGGATTCAGTCTCCTGGGTTAAGGGGTTTCTGCCCCCCTACACACACACTGCCTGGTCTGGGGTCTCCGGTGCCTGGAATCAGGTGGTTCTTGGGCTTGGCTGCTGCTGTGCCAGGAAGAGAAAGGGATGTATGTGTATGTGACCAACTCTGGGGTCAGCAGTTCAGCAGCTGTGTTGATGAGGTGGGGTGTCTCAATGCCCACAAACAAACAAACAAATAAAAGGTTACCCCCTGGGATAGCCTGGGGCCAGACATGCTGAGGATGGACAGAGAACAGTGCCTATGGGGGGGGGGGGGCAGCCCACTCCCTCCCACAATGAATTGAGCAAGTAGGAGGGGTCCCTAGATAACTGGAAGGGGCTGGTGGTATTGGGCCAGCTAGGTAACCTTTGGAGAGGATGTCCTTGGAAAGCACTCCCTCTTCAGTATATCTCTAGAAGAGGTTTCCTGCTCTCTGTGGTGAGGAGCAAAAAGGTCCAGTTTTTAACCTCCCTTTTTCCTTAAGTTGAGGATTAAGGAAGATGATCCCTCTGGGGTTTGTTTGGTTGCTGTTGTTTTTCAGTGATCAGGGTCACGGGCCCCTTTCTCATCGCCAGGAGGACTTCCCTGAAGTGCTTCCACCAAGAACCAGGGTGGAGGGGGGCAGCCAGGCTTGAAACGGACGACCATTCACCTTCCCGCAGCACGGGGTAGAGAAAGGGGGAAGGGGAAGCTGGCGCCCTCTGGTGGGCGACGTTGAGACCGCCCGTGGCTCTGTCGCTGCCCCACGTCGCCTCTTCAGCGGCTTTAGGCATGCAGGAGCTCCCTGCGCGGGTTTAGGCGGAAGGCCAGGGAATAAATAAGGCTGACTCAGTTCATTCATTCATTCATTCATTCATTCATTCATTCATTCATCAGTCACTGGAAGGGTGCTTCCCCACTGCCTCTCGCCCATAGCCTCCAAAGTCCTCGGCACGTTCAAGGTTGGAGGCGCTGGAGACCCGCTGGGTGCCGGAAGAAAGTCGTCTGGGGGGCACTGGGAGGCCGACCCAGCTACCCCCTGCGCGTGGCTCCCCCCCAATATTCCCCTCCCGCCCCCATGGCTGATAGCTCACTGCGTGTCTTGACTGTTGTCTTGGTGGGTCTCCGAGAGTCCCTGGCCAGCACTGAGCGAGCTCCTGCCTGCAATGAGGGCCCAATCCATATCTGCCCTTTCGTCCAGGAGTTTCCCGGCCAGACTAGGCACCCCTCAGGTAGTGCTAGGAATTTCTTTTTTCCTCCTTCCTCTCCCCGGGGCTCTCCTCGATCCCCCTTCTACACCCTCAGCGCACAGTGGGAGCGCTGCCGATTCACTCCGGCCAGGGAGCGCTGAGGCAGGAAGGTGTACACCGGGGTCCACAGACCGCTACAGGAAAGGCAGGCCTGTCTTTGGTGGGGAGAAGGGGGACGACTCCCAGAAGGCGTCCGCAGCGCTTAACGCAGTCTCCAGGATTTGCATTTGAACGGTCAGCGGAGAGTCCGCGGCGCTTTGAACACCTGGCGCACGGAGCGAGTGGCAGCCCGGGCGGCCGTGCAATCTGGTGTGGATTTGAGGGGCCTGAGGAGGGCCGGGGGCGAGGGATGCGCTTGGAAAGAGCCTGAAGGTGTGTGTTTGGGTCTCTACGAGGGCGTGTTTGCGGAGAGAAGCTGTTTGTGTTGGTGAGGAGTGTGTGTTTGTGTTTGTAGGAGGCGAGAGTGTGTGTGTGTGTGTGTGTGTTTGTGTTTGCTAAGTGTGGGGGCAGCGGGGGAAGGCGGCCGGGCTGTCACTCAGCGATCAGGTTGACAAGCGCTCCCTCATCAGGGCCAGGGAGCTCTGATTGCAGATTCGAAGAAACAAAATAGCAATTGTAATTACGGGGCTTTGATAAGATAAAGGAAGAAGCAAGCTGGCTGGGAGGCGAGCAAGCGAGTGAGGGAGGGAGAGAGCGGCCTGCTGGGGCCCTGAAGGAATATTTTTGCATCTGTCACTCAAGAGTGTGCCCAGACACTACCTGGGGCTGGATGCGAGCGTGTCCCCATATGCCCCCCTCTAGAGACATAGGCTTTTGGGGAGATTAAAAGAATCTCCCCAAACTGACCAGGATCAAGTTCAGGGGAAATTCTCCAAATGTAAAGGAATTCTGGTCCTGTACAAGCAGGCTCTTTGGTAGAGGTTAAGAGTAGGACTAAAACCCTGACCTCCACACCTTTAGGCCCCATCTTCTCTGGGAGAGAGAGAGAAGGGTGGGCTATGATCATCGAGGTTCGGCCCAGGGCCTTCAGAACCTTCTGGGGACTCCAGAAGCCAGGTTGGACCGTGGGCCCATCCAGGCGCTCTGGCTTCCACCCTTATTCCAGGGAAGGCTGGTGCCCAGAGTGACTCTGACTGTGACTCCAGAGCTATGCACAGCCCACTGAGGACGGGCTGAACGCCTGGGTCCTGCTCCCTGATCTCATCAGTCCCCGTTCAGAGAGCTCGGTCCCTGATGGGGACAAAGCTGTTCAGATTCTCTGCTCTCCATCTCTCCATTCATTCATTCCTTAAATGTATGCAAATAAACTTTTTCAGGAGCTTCCTATTCACTGGCATGAGGTTAAGGTGGTGAGTATACCGCCTGCTTGAAGCAGGGCAGCTGGGGAGATAGACACTCAACAGGTGCCCCGCAGGCCTCTAACTCAGAGGAGCACAGTAAAGGAAAAGGGCGGGTCTGGGTTGTGGGCACTGGAACCCACCTCACCTGTTGCCCTCAGCCACCCATCCAATGGCCCATCTTCCAGTGGGGTTGAGAACAGAGAGTGTAAGCCCAGCCTTCAGCAAATACAAATGCTCAATAAATGGTGGTGTTTATGATTATTATCTGCCGAGGCAAGTGGGTGAAGGCAAGCCTCCCTGGCGAAGTCGCACATGGGCCGAGGTCTAAATGCTCAACCAGTTTCCCCATTACTCATTCATCTCAAATGCTAACTGCAGAACAACCCTGCCCAGCTCTGTGCCATGACCAGCAAGTTCCGAGCTAGAAGACATGGTCCTTGCCTGGAGGTTTGTCTGGGCAAGAGCCAGCTGAGTGAACAGACTCCTGGAAGGGGTAACAGGTAGGCTCAGGAAGTCCACTCCTCTGAGGAGTGATGAGATCTTTGAGATAAGTCCTCTGACTCTGTTTTCCCATCTGTATTTTGCTCAGTGTTAGCATTCCGGCTGGGAGTGGGGGAAGCTAGAGAAAGGGGAGGTAGGCAGAGCTTGGCTCTACTGTTGGAAAAGGGCCTGCCTCTTCCCTTTGGCCTAATGGCTTCCTAAGACCACCCAACCCCTCCACCCAACCCCCAAGGCCATGGGGTAGCCAGTGGGGCAAGGGGGGTGTGGTCAAAGGCAGCAGCTGGGCAGAGCGTCAGCGGCTCCACCTGCTCTTCTGAGAGTACCTATCCCAGGGCACCTCTGCCCACCCAAGCTGCTCCCAAAGAAGCACCCCTCCTCCCACCAATGAGGGTCTGAGAAAGGCTTAGGCACGTCCATACCTCCTCCTTTGGCACTCACCCGGCCCTGCCCCAGTTGACACAAAGCACCAGTCCCTGTCTAGTACACAGTAGGTGTGTAAATACCTCTTAAGTGCACAAATAATGGGACTCTGAGAGAGAAAAGCTGGTGGCCTGGATCGAAGTCTCTTCCCCAGGAAAAACAGCTAGGAGTAGCTATTTTTGCCCCATCTGCCTGTTGCTTTGGGGGTTGGCAGGGACTGGGGGTCCTTGCCAGGGACTTCTGGGCTCTTCCACATAGGTGGCTCGTGGTTCCTCCCAAGCTTCAGGCCAGCATGTGTGTGTATTTGTATTGGGAGGGTCGAGGGTTGGGGGGGAGCAGGAGCGGGAGGTGACGGTAGTAATGGGTGCCGGAGGGTAAGAAGGAGACATTTCTCTCAGGGCTTCTTGAAGACTGAGAGAGACGGGCGAGACGGGCAAGGCGGGGTACTCAGCAGAAGGAAGGGGGTTTGGTTCCCCGCCGCAGACGCACGTACTGCCCTTCGGTCCAGTGTCAGTGGCTACTTCCCAGGGGAGGCCCAGCAGGAGTGCACAGTAGGTGGCTCAGAGACCCGCAGTGTAGCCAGGGGCTTGAGCGGACCGGGCCCCACGGTGGAGCCTTGGCACCTTCCAACTCAGACGCACCCGCGGTCCAGGGAATCCCTGCGGAGGGTCTCGGGACCCCATGGAGCGGGTGCCCCAGACGCCCCCCATCCCCGCGTGTCTAGACCTCAAGAGCGCGCGAGGGGACAAGCCCAGGAGGTGGGGGGAGGCGCCCACCCCGGTCGCCCACGCCTCTCGGGCGAGTCCTCAGACCCCTCCCCTGGCCCAGACCCCCAATCCCAGACCCGCCGGCCGCCCCGCCCCGGCCGCCCCGCCCCCGCCCGGGGCTGCGTCCCGGCCCCAGCTCCTAGCCGGGGCTGCGGGCTCCGGCCGCCCGCCCCGCACTCCCCCCTCGCGCCCGGTGCGGCGCCCCCCGCCCCCATCCCTCCCCCTCCCCTTCCCACCTACCCACCCACCCTGCCGGCCCGTTACCCTCCGCCCGCTCCGGCTCCTGAGTAGCCAGCGGCCACCGGCTCCGGTAGCGGCGCAGAGCGACTCGGCGCGGCCAACTCGACCTTCCACGGGACCTGCGGAGCCGCGTCGGCATCGCTGCTGGGCTCCCGCCCTCGAGCAGTCCTCGCTCGCCTCCGGTCTCAGCTCGTGTGCCCGCGGGCCGGCGTGATCCCGCCGGGGCTCCCCGCGCTCCCCGGGCCGCGCGCCATGGGCAGCACCCGCTCGGCGCTGAGCTGCCTGTGAGTACCGCCGCCCCGTCCCCGCCGGCCGCGCGCCGCGCCCCTCGCTCACCCTGCGCCCCTCTCTCTCCCGCCCGCTTTTGTCTCCCACAGGCTGTTGCACTTGCTGGTTCTCTGCCTCCAAGCCCAGGTAAGGCGCACTGCGCGGAGGCGGGGGCCGGGGGCCGGGGGCCGGGGCCGGCGGGGAACGCCGGCTGGCCAAGTCGGGCCGGGGCACCAGGACCGCCGCTGCGGCCAGCGCGGCATGGCTGGAACGAACCTTAGAAAGCCAGCCCCGAATTATCCCGGGTCGGTAGCTAAGGAACAGAGAGGTAGCGCTCAGCACCAGGTCACACAGCCAGTGCGTGCCGAGGCTAGAACCCAAGGTCTCTAGGTCCAGCGTTGCCTCCCACGCGTTCTAGCCAGGTTGGGGGAGCTCCACGGGCAGCCACACCTGGCCGCCGAGGAAGGGGGCCGGTCGGGGCCAGGGAGAATTCTTGTCAGAAGTCCGGGTGGCTGGCTCGGGGACCCTCTCCGCGGCTCTCGGGGGAGGCTTGTGGCGGGTCTGGCGGAAAGATCAGGTGCCTAGGCCCTCTGCGCTCTCAACATTTGCTCCGTAAATTTGTCTTTATAAATGTCAGGGGTCAGGCAGCGCTGCCTCCCTACTTAAAAGCGCCCTGCTCTTCTAGGAAGGCCCGGGCGGGGGGCCTGCGCTGGGCAGGGAGCTGGCTTCCCTGTTCCGAGCTGGCCGCGAGTCCCAGGGTGTTTCCCAACAGGTGGGTCCAGATCCTTCCCCATCCCCCGGCTCATCCATGCTAGGCTGGATATGCCCGGCTCTCCTGGGTGGGGGTGGTAGCCTAAGCTGGCATGTTGGGGGGACCCCGCCCCTGCCGGCTGCCTGGGGCAGTGGAGGTGGGGTACAGGGCAATGGGGGCCACCGGGGCCCCTGGGCAGAGTAGCATTATAATGGCGTGTTGTGTATTTTTCAATTTCCTAAAGGTAACTGTTCAGTCCTCACCTAATTTTACACAGCATGTGAGGGAGCAGAGCCTGGTGACGGATCAGCTCAGCCGCCGCCTCATCCGGACCTACCAGCTCTACAGCCGCACCAGCGGGAAGCACGTGCAGGTCCTGGCCAACAAGCGCATCAACGCCATGGCAGAAGATGGGGACCCCTTCGGTAAGGCGAGCTGCACTGCGGCAGGGTTAGGGTAGCTTGTGGAACGTGCCCCCTTCCCCCGGCCGGCCTGCTGTGACTGGACCCACCAGCTGCAACTGTGTGGGCCAGGGGTCTGCAAGCTCCCCAGCTCAGAAGGCAAGGGGTTAAGGCAAAAAAGTGTTTTGGGGGTCAGCTGGAGAAAAGAGGGCTTGGGAAGGGACCTTGGGGAGCACTTGGCCCACAGGTGCCCCTTCCTTGCCCAGCAGATGAATGAATCCAGGAATTTCCCTCTACACCTCCCCCTTTCATACACCCCTCCCCAGCTGCAGGTGGAGGCAGAGGGTTCAGGGGGAGGGGGCCCAGGTTTAAGGGAAGCTCTTGAAAGAGGATATGTCGCCAGGGCCCACAAAAGGAGAGTGGGAAAGAGAAGGGAGAGAAGTCCCCCCAACTCTCCCAGCTTGGAGGGGGGGTACTGTGAACCTTTAAATGCTTTGATCAGAAGGGTCAATTACACATGGGGACTAGGCTTGGGAAGGGGCCCTGCCTGCTCCACTTACCCAGGAACCCAGGCGGTGGGTCAGAGCCGGGCTCCCGGCTCCCGGTGGGGTGGTGAGTACAGGGAGCTACTGCCGGGTGGAGAGGCTGAGGACTGATTGATTTCTAAAACATTCAATATTCCTGCCTTGAAACAAGGCCAATTTCCAGAGTCCTGATGTACCCGGAGAAAAGCAAGCCCTCTGGGCGGCTGGTGTTGTTTTTAGAGAGCGATTATTGTGAGTTTAAAAACCTTTAAATAATGACCAAGTTAAACAAGCATGAAAGCAGAGGGGAAGACTCTATTAAAATGTAATAAAAAGGTGAGGCATTTTAAGAGCTAAGAAGAAAAATGAAGAATGATATAAAACAGAAAAAGAACGAGCCTTTTTTTTTCAGATGTGGAGTTTGAAAAGAGTTGCAAGTCTGTAAATGTTAAAAAAGAGGTTCAAGATTGTTCTCTATGAATCTCTGGAGAGACCCCCGCGTCTGGCAGAGCGATTAAAACTCTTCTTACTTTCACCTTTTTAAACATTTCCTGAATACTTTCTCCTCTTCTCGAGCCAGTTTGGGGGATCGAGTATGTCTCGCTGCATTTTTTCTGCGTCGACGTAGCTGACTTCCCTTCAAAGCTGGAGAAGGAGACATAATTTTCCTGGGATAAATCTGTCACTGGGTGGAAGAATAGGTTTGAAAATGTTAAGCTTTCCAAAAGCCCGGTCGGGGAAGCCGCTGTACACTGCAGCCCCAGCTCCCCAGAAACATCCAGGAGGGAGAGTGGGGGCTCCTTGGGGGTGGGGGTGGAGGCGGCCTGCCCAGTGGCCGAGCTCCCCTGCTGGGCTGGCAGGGCCAGCCTACCTTCCCTTTGTCCCTCCAAACTGGCTGCTAGCTGCCCTTCTCAGCTTCCTAGGAATGGGAACGAATGCCTGCCTGGCTCCTTCTGGGTTTACTCCATCAGAGCAACTGGCCCAGCATCTTTGGCTTTTGGGGAGGGAAGAAGAGGCTAAGGTGGCCATGGAAGAACTTGTCCTCAGACATCAGAGGTCTGATGCCCGCTTCTCTCGTTACAAATCCAGGAGGCTTCCCAGCTCCTGGACGGCCCCTGCCTGCCCGGCAGGGGTGGAAGCTGGAGGGCCCAAGAGCAGAGACCTAGGGTGTGCAGCCAGGACGGGAAGAGTCTGGAAAAGAACAGCAGAGAGCTGCTTTCCTAGCTGCTTTCTTATGGGCCCCAGGAGGTGACAGAGAGGCCTACTCCATCCCTCGCTGCCCCGGTTTGGCCAGAATCCTCCGAGTGGGATCCTCTCGCCCTTCTCCCATCAGTGTCCTTCCAGAGCCGCTTTTTGCTCGGGAAGGCAGGCCGGGAGAGGGATGAGCAGACTGGCTGGGTCCAAGAGGAGGTGGGTGGGGAGAGGTGACAGCTGCATTTCCCCTCGGCTGACTTGGAGCCAGACTGAGGACTTGGCCGCTGGGTCCCAGCTCTGTGCTTATGTAAAGGGGGTGGGCAGCCACAGGCTGGGCATTGAGGACTGTCTTGCTGACCTTGGTGCCCATCTTCCCAGTAGTTTCAGAGACAGAGAAGGTGCCACCTTGTCCGTGTGGGCTGGGAGGCAGCTCTGGGAGTCCCGGAAGTGCTTTCTCAAGGAGGGGAGAGGCTGGGCGCTGCAGTTGGGAGGGTAGGAGACCCAGCTCCTTCTGTCCCATCCCAAAGGGCTAAGTCAGCCCTCACTGCCTTTTTGGGGACAGCCTCAAAGGGAGGAGTTACACAGAGAGTGGACAGGAATTGGCTTCTGTGGCAAGTTTGCTGTCTGAGGGAAAGGAGGAGGGGGAAGAAGGCACAGAATTCAGCTCCATGTTTTCTCCCCAGACTGAGGTGTGAGCATGCCTGATTTTTCCCTCTACACCCACAGAAAGGGCTGGGTCACTGGGGTGAGAAGCCTCGCTGCAATGGAGGTTGGAAAGACCACTGAGTTGTTGACTTCTGGACGCTGGCACTGGGGACTTCAGTGATTGGGAAGCCAGGGAAAGAGGCAGGACCCTCCCGCCAGTTTCTGAGTTCTGGGGAAGCAGCTGGCTGGGGGCTGTGTTAGGGAGAACTGTCCCTTCCCTATTGACTTCTCAGCAGAACAGCAGTGGGGAAGGAGAGGGGGCCAAGGCAGCGAGTTAGAACTCGAGCTACCAGAAACAGGAGAGGATGCTTTTACGCTTCGCCTCAGGGCTGGCGGTCACCACTGTACCCGGATGTATAAAGTGATCTGTGAGGCATGTGCAGATAATATTTTGAGTTGGAAGGATCCTCAGAGGTCTTTGGAGTAGCAGGAGAACTCTAGTCAGGAAACCTTGACATAGAAGTCATTACTGTCTAGTTTTAAAAGAGGGTATTTTCAGTTTGAAAGCCCCAAGACTCCTCTGCTGGACCCAGTTGGTATACCATGACCTTGCCCATCCCCCTCTGTAAGCCCAGGTGAGGGGCCCGAGGCCCGGAAAGGGGACTTGGCCTTACCTAGGGGGCTGAAGCCCACCTCTTGGGTACCTGGGCCTTGGAGCAGTTGCTGGTAGGATGTGACAAGTCCGCGAGCCAGCTGGGGTGAGGACATGGGACTGTGGGGGTGAGGGAGCTTCTAGTAACCTCCCTCCTCTGTTCTGGACAGCAAAGCTCATTGTGGAGACAGACACCTTTGGGAGCCGGGTTCGAGTCCGAGGAGCTGAGACAGGCCTCTACATCTGCATGAACAAGAAGGGGAAGCTGATTGCCAAGGTGAGGCCCCAGAAGAGGGGGTGGGGTGGGGGCTGGGGCTTGGGGAGCGGCCTGGGCTGGCCAAGCTCCTCCAAGATAGCCACAAGGTAGGCAGAGAGACACAGGGCCACCATGGGGTTACTTAATGATTGTGGGGGGCAGGGGGAGAGGTGAGGGAGAATGAAATTGCTTGAGAGATGAAAAGCTATAAAGGCAAAGGAGGAAGAAGGAAGGCTAGGGAAGAGGCTTGGGGGGGAAGGTTGGTAAATTCCATATATCTTTTTAACAAATCGCCAAATTGCTTTGCTATTATGTCCAATTACATGGTACCAGCATTTGGAATGTTCAGTAAGCCGCAGGCCCAGCCCCTCGGCCGAGCTCTGAAATGGCCCCATTAGTCACGGCTCCTCTCCAGCCTCGAGCTCCCCGCTTGCTGGGCTTCTGGGGCTTGGGGCTCAGCGCCTCCTCGGAGGCCTCCCCTCCCCCAGAGGGTGGCTGCTCAGGGGCCCTGGAGTTGGAATCCTGAGGGGCTGAGGGGGGCAGGTGGGGGAACGGGTGCTAGCGGCTCAGGCCAGACTGGTGGGCAGGAGGCCAGGGCAGGCAGGGTCTGGGCCCCCTCTCCGCTGCCTCTCTGTGTCGGGGCCCAGCCCTTTCGGTAGGTAGCCATGTGTCACTGCTGCCCGGGAGAACAGGAAGTTGCCGGGTGGGCTGCGGGTTGTGAGGGATTAGAGAGCGGGTGCCCAGGCAGGGGGTGGGGCTGCAGCTCCTGCCCACCCTGCCATCTGCTGGGGTGCCCACCTGCTGTCTGGGGCCGCCTGCCCTCTGCCTCTGATGGGGGGGGTGCTCCGGAGAGAGCCCAGTAACGCTGTGTCTGGCCCCCCTACCTGCAGAGCAACGGCAAAGGCAAGGATTGTGTCTTCACGGAGATTGTGCTGGAGAACAACTACACGGCCCTGCAGAACGCCAAGTACGAGGGGTGGTACATGGCCTTCACCCGCAAGGGCCGGCCCCGCAAGGGCTCCAAGACGCGACAGCACCAGCGCGAGGTCCACTTCATGAAGCGGCTGCCCCGCGGCCACCACACCACGGAGCAGAGCCTGCGCTTCGAGTTCCTCAACTACCCGCCCTTCACGCGCAGCTTGCGCGGCAGCCAGAGGACTTGGGCCCCGGAGCCCCGATAGGCGCCCGCCCAGCCCCTCCCGCGGCTCCCGGTGCAGAGATTTCCATCTCAGGGGAGCGAGCACAGACAGAGAAACTCAAGCAAGACGAGGTCTGCTCTACTGAAGGCTGGGGAGGAGCTGGGGGAGCCCCGGGTTCTAGTTGTTGATAATTGTTTGCTGTTGGGTTTTTTTTTTTTTTTTTAAACAAAAGAGAGGCTCTATTTTTGTATTCCACTTGGCTGTGGTGTCTTCTTAACTCTCAGGAAGGCCAGTTAGTGGCCAAGGCTGGGGATTGGGGGGCCCCCTGGGGGCAGGAGTCTGTTTCTAGTCCAGCAGAGGTGCTTTTGAGCCCCCAGTACCTGCAGAGCAAGCTGGTCAGGCAGCTGGAAACTCCACTGCACCCCGAGGTGGGGGCAGGGAGGAAAGGGTTGGGACTTAGGTCAGGTGTTCTAAGGGTGGGTGTCAGTGGGGGGAGGTTGTGTATTAGTTGCTATTAAATGACTAAAATATTTATTTAACTTGCGTATTAAAAATGTGTGCTGGAGGGTGAGTCCTTCTGGGTCAGCTTCCCTGCCCCTGCCCTGCCCCAGCTGGTGGCGGAGCCGGGAGATGCAGCAGATCAGGCCCCAGCGCTGACGATGGCCTCCCGTTAGCCTAAGGACCCATGCCTGTCCCTGTCCCCATCATTGTCACTGGAGGGTTTTCCTAGGAGGACAGAATTAGGGGAAGGAGCAAGAAGAGGCCCTTAGCTGGTCCTGGGAGTCATGGACACCCTAGCTTTTAACAGGAGTTATTGCTAACACTTCCCCAGGCTGCCTCTGAGCCAGAAATGGCCACTCTACCGGAGCTGCGATCATGGATTCAATGAGTCTAAAAACTGCCTTGCTGTGTGCCTAGGTCTGTGTGGGAGACAGATAGGAGATGCTGAGGCTCATTCTTTCTGAGTGTCAAGCTCCAGAAAATGAAAAAGGGCAGCTGCCAGGGTCCAAGGTGGGGGTATGTCAGAGGGGGGACCTCCAAGCCTGGTGTTGACAATTGTGATGTGGGGACAAGTGTTGGCTTTGGGAGACCTGGTTAGAGAGCGATGAGCAGAAGGTGCTGAGCTCGGGTGCTGCGAAAGAACCCAGAGGACTGGTTTAGGGAGAGGCCGCAGCCTTTGGAGAGAGGGGGCCCGGACGGAGAGGAACTGGGAGTACGATGGGAGGGGAAGCTCTCAGGCCAAGAGCAGAACGGAGGCTGGTAGAGCAGGCCATGGTTCTGGCAAGAGGACTGGTCCATGGTGTGTGGAGGGGTATGTGTTTAGATGCGGCCCAGTGACACTGGCACCATAACATGCCATGGTGTGGGATGGTGGAGAACCCAAAGCCAGGGGCAGCGGGTCCCCTGAGGGCAGAGCTGGCCCAGTCTTTATAGCTGAGGCCTCTCATGCTGGCTGCGTCTGCTGCCTCCTTGGAGGGTGCCCTTGGCCAATCCAGAAACTTCTTCCCTCTGGGCCTCTGTTCTTCAGCACCTCCTTTGGGAGGGGAGCACCCCAAGGCTTTCTACCCGCATGGGTCTCAGAGTTGCAGCTGCAAGTCCCAGACGCAGGCCATCCAGGTGGGTCAGGAATTTCAGGGCTCAGTGGGGAGCCTTGGAGGAGAGAGACTGGGGACACACTGGGGTTTGTCTACGTCACCTCCTCCAGTCTACTGTGAGGGCAAGGGGCTCTGGGTAGAGTAGGTTTCTCCTGGTTCATAGACACTGGGGACTTGGGGAGGGGGGCTCTAGACATCTCTCTTCCAGCTCCCCCAGCTCTTAGTGCCTCCTCCTCTGCTCCATCCCCTCCCCTCCCCCTTTAATTAATTCTGGGTGAGCAGCCTGGCTTTATTGTGCAAGGAGCTGGGGTCTCACTGTGGGAAAAGTCACACCTTCTGAGCAGCTTCTGATGCCATGCAAATGAAGAGACCGTCCAGGAAACGCTTTCATCTGCAGGGCCGCCTGTCCAGCCCCTAGCCCAGTAATTACCCACATTTTATTTGTTTGAGAGCAATTCCTGGGGGAAGCCACAGGATAGGAGGGAGTCTGGGGTGGGGTGGGGTGGAATGTCAGGCTCTCCCTGCCTGTGATCCTGGCCACAAAGTGGGGCCAACCGGGCCAAGGCCGGTGACTGGCCAGGCCCAAGCTACCGCTGAAGCCCCCAGGCGTGTGATGCCTGAGCACTCCGGAGAGGCGGGGTGGAACTGTGCCGTGGTGGTGATGAGGGAGAAGAGGTGGGCCGTGGTCCACAGAGCTGGACCTGCCTGCAGAGGGGAGGGAGATGACGGATGGGGGTGGAGGGAAGCAGAGCTGGACAGGACAGTTAACGGCTGGTCCATGGGGCTGCCTGAGGCTTTGGGAAGGGGTTGAATCCTAGCAGGACCCCGGGCTGTGGTGCCACGGGGGCAGAGGCCAAAGCAGTGGGGCTAGGCCGGGCTAGAGCACCCACCACCTTGTTTATCTTTGGGTTGCTCCCTCCACAGAGCCCTCGCTAATGGGGTTTTACAGCCCACTCAAGCTGCAACTGGCCAAGAATCAATCATTACCGGCACTTAGTGGTTTGATAGTTAACAGCCTGAACTGAAGCCAAACTGGTTGTTAACTGTGATAACAACTGATTTCAAGGGGTTATTGCCGGCCCAATATGCTCAGCCCATTTATTCTGGGGAAAACAAGCAGGGGGCTGTGGCAAGGCACAGAAAAGGGAGGAGCGCCAGGCTTGCTTTCCTCGCCAAAAGGCCTGCCACTGTCTTGGAGTGGGTGCCGGCTGCGAGGACCTTGGGGTCCACGTGAGGTCTGCACGAAGGCTTGACCCCCCAGAGCTCTGTGGAAGACCAGGGCGGGGCCCAGAGGACCCCCGCGGAGGCCCTCTCCAGTCCTCCCTGTCCGTTCTCACCTGCCCTGGTCTCCCGCCTCCCCTTTTCCCCCTTTTCTTAGAGCAGCACTTCCCACGGGCCCTCACAGGTACAGATTCCTGAGGGGAAGCCCTGTCCTGGTGGCCAGGCCTCTATTTGTCCCCACTCAGCACGTAGGTCTGGACCCGTCACCCATTCCTCCCTCACCAAGGCTCCAAGTCCAAGCCGGAACCTGCCTCTCATTTCAAGGCCAGCGAAGACTCCATCCAAGCCTCGACTAGGAAGAAGGAGTGAGAGTTCTCTCCTCTTACTCCACCAAGTCTTGTCCATCCCTGCCTTCTACCCTCAGCCGAATGGCAGCAGGTGGGCTCTGGCTAAGCGTCATTCTAGAATGCTGCAGCCGCAAAGGGCCACTGTCTCCGCTGTCTACAGGCAGACAACATGAGGTCCAGAAGTCACATAGCCAGGGCCAAAGCAAGCACGAGAAATCAGGTCTTAATACCCAGGCCCAAGCTGCTGCTTGAGGACTGTAGGTCTTTCCCTAATTCCATTCACTCATTCACTATTTATTGAGTGCCTACCATGTGCCAGACTCTTTTCCGGGTAAGGGGACAAAGCAGGACATACGAGACCAAAGTCCTGTCATTGTGGACCGCATATCCCAGTGGTTGTGGTGGGGGATGCAGAGCAAACAGTGTGTAGCACAGCAGACACTGACAACCACTATGGAGAGAAATGCAGAGAAGGGAATGAATGTGCAAGGTGGAGTAGGGTAGCAGCCATTTTAAATAGGCTATCATTTCAAGGCCAGCGAAGAAATGATCTTCGCGTCTTTTACTCAAAGAAGGCCTCACTGAAAACAATGTTGGAGCGGACAGGTGACCGAGGGAAGGCATTCATATATCCCGGAGAAGCCTTCAGGTAGAGGGAACAGCCAGTGCAAAGGCTTGCTGCATTTGGGGAAGAGGAAGGAGGCTGGCGTGGCTGGAGCCCAGCGAAGGGAGGTTATGAGAGAGAGAGAGAGAGTGTGTGTGGTAGGAAGTGTGGCCAGGGGTGCAGAGAATGATAGAGGCTGAGGTGAGGCCAGAGAGAGAAAAGGGGTGGAGCTGGAGGGCAGATCATGTAGGGCCATTGAAAAGACTTTCGTTTTGACCCTGAATGAGACAGCAGACAGACCATTGGGGGTTTTGATCAGTAGAGTGACATGATCTGAATCAAGTTTTACCAAGTTTGCTTTGGCTGTTGTGTTGAGAATAGACAGAAAGGGAGGCCAATTATGAAATTCTTGTACTAATGTACTAATCTAGGTGAGAGATAATAGTGGATTAGAGGTGGCAGGAGAGATTGAATTTTGGACTTTGTTTTTTTTTTTCTTGGTGGTAGAAGTGACAGGGTTTGTTGATGGGTTTGGGTATGGGCTGCGAGAGAAGGCGTGGAAGGGTTGCCAAGGTTTCCAGCCTGAGCAGCTGAAAGGATGGAGGGGTCATTTAGCGAGATGAAGAAGATTCCAGGAGGGGCAGATTCTGAGGGGGAAGAGGAGGAGTTTAGGTATGGACATGTTAGGTCTGATATTCAAGGGGAGATGTTGAGTAGGCAGTTGTGCATGAGTGTGGAATTCAGGGCAGAGGTCTAGCGGGAAGATAGAAATTTGGGAGTGTTCAGCACACAGGCGATTTTTAAAGCCAAGAGATGGAATGGATTCCCTAGGGAGTGAGCAGCGCTGGAGAACAGAGGAGCTCCAGGCCTGCGCCTTGGTGTTCTCTAAGCATTCAGAGGTCAGGGTGAGGGGGGACCAGGAAAGAAGGTTGAGGAAGTGTGGCCCATGAGATAGGTGGTTGGGAAACCAGGAGAATGTAGTGTCCTGATGATGTAGGAAAAAGGACAATTCCTGGGGTTAGGGAAAAGTTTCACTGCCCTTAACTGCCTCCTTTCCTCCTACTTCCACCGACCCCAGGGCCGAGAGGAGGCAGCCCACAACAGAGTTGGCTTAACACGGGAGGCTCCTTGACTCTTCTCTCAGCCTCCTGCCGCCTCTCATCCTGCTGCCTTTATCTGCAGAACATACCTCACATCCCGCGCCTCCAATCTCCTACCGTCAGCTGCCATCGCCCCGCCCCAAGCCGTCCTCGGCTCTTGTCTGAACCGTGGCAA